CAGTAGTTTCAAAGCGTTATATGACAAAGAGTCATATAACTCTGTGGGATAGCTGCTGTATAGCCAGAATTCAAATTATAATCTCATTTAACTACCATTGTGTACTTTAGCTCTGCCTTTCCTTTCAAAAGGTTTTAACTTTATTTAAAAAAAAATGTCATCTTTATTATTGTCTTTTTTCTTTATATTCCCATGTTCCATAGTACACTGGCTTTACCTGTGTCCTCTAGTATTAACTTTATTATCCAGTGTTCCTGAGTGTATCTCTATTTAAACTACCTCAGTTTGTTTTAGTAAACTTTAGTATTCAACTATAGTGTACTTATAATTACAGAGGTTACAGAGGCACATATTCTTTATTCTTTATGCTCAATTAGTATTAAGTTCTAGATATTAATGTTTTCTTGCCCGAAACACATTGCGTAATAGTGGCTTTAGGCATTGTATGTACTAGCTCTATCTATATATCAATCCATTAATGTAACATCACTTGTATGTATATACCTTACCTGAATAAACATCTGAATCTGAATCTGAATCTGATAATAGTATCGTAAGTAAGCTTTTCATTTTATAGATTTCATAATTGCTTTTTTACTTGTTTGGACATCTATTGTTATTAATTATTCTAGTTCATTTTTTACATTCCTAAGTTCCCATTAAGTTTTTATTACTTAAATTACCATTAAGTTTAAATTACTTTAGAATTTTTATTCTACTTTTTCTTTGTAACCCAGGTTGTCTAGCCCAACCACCATTGTAACCCAGGTTGTCTAGCCCAACCACCATTGTAACCCAGGTTGTCTAGCCCAACCACCATTGTAACCCAGGTTGTCTAGCCCAACCACCATTGTAACCCAGGTTGTCTAGCCCAACCACCATTGTAACCCAGGTTGTCTAGCCCAACCACCATTGTAACCCAGGTTGTCTAGCCCAACCACCATTGTAACCCAGGTTGTCTAGCCCAACCACCATTGTAACCCAGGTTGTCTAGCCCAACCACCATTGTAACCCAGGTTGTCTAGCCCAACCACCATTGTAACCCAGGTTGTCTAGCCCAACCACCATTGTAACCCAGGTTGTCTAGCCCAACCACCATTGTAACCCAGGTTGTCTAGCCCAACCACCATTGTAACCCAGGTTGTCTAGCCCAACCACCATTGTAACCCAGGTTGTCTAGCCCAACCACCATTGTAACCCAGGTTGTCTAGCCCAACCACCATTGTAACCCAGGTTGTCTAGCCCAACCACCATTGTAACCCAGGTTGTCTAGCCCAACCACCATTGTAACCCAGGTTGTCTAGCCCAACCACCATTGTAACCCAGGTTGTCTAGCCCAACCACCATTGTAACCCAGGTTGTCTAGCCCAACCACCATTGTAACCCAGGTTGTCTAGCCCAACCACCATTGTAACCCAGGTTGTCTAGCCCAACCACCATTGTAACCCAGGTTGTCTAGCCCAACCACCATTGTAACCCAGGTTGTCTAGCCCAACCACCATTGTAACCCAGGTTGTCTAGCCCAACCACCATTGTAACCCAGGTTGTCTAGCCCAACCACCATTGTAACCCAGGTTGTCTAGCCCAACCACCATTGTAACCCAGGTTGTCTAGCCCAACCACCATTGTAACCCAGGTTGTCTAGCCCAACCACCATTGTAACCCAGGTTGTCTAGCCCAACCACCATTGTAACCCAGGTTGTCTAGCCCAACCACCATTGTAACCCAGGTTGTCTAGCCCAACCACCATTGTAACCCAGGTTGTCTAGCCCAACCACCATTGTAACCCAGGTTGTCTAGCCCAACCACCATTGTAACCCAGGTTGTCTAGCCCAACCACCATTGTAACCCAGGTTGTCTAGCCCAACCACCATTGTAACCCAGGTTGTCTAGCCCAACCACCATTGTAACCCAGGTTGTCTAGCCCAACCACCATTGCTCCATTGTGCTCTTTTGCTTTGCCTGTGCAGTTTTGATTATTAGTGCAAATAATTACCTACAGTGTACCTGAAAGTACTTTTAAGCAACCTACCTCATTTTTGTGTATAGTTTTATATATATATTTTTTTCATAGCTAGTTTTTGTATCATTGTCTTTTTGGCTTTTCTGTAAAACAGCCCTCTTATGCAAACTATTATAGATCCAGACCTTAACCTCTTATCTAGTATCTATGACAATCAGCACTTTAATGATCAAAATTGCAGATATTACACAGCACATGATGTAAACAATGTTTTAGCGTGTAATCACAATGTTTCTGTAATTAACGTGAATGTAAGATCTCTTTTTTAGTTTAGTTCATTTATTATGCACCCCATACCCATCGTGTGGGCGGTAGAAGAAAGGGTTACAGAGGCACATAATGGGCTCAGGGACTGAACCCCACAATTCATTTAGCTAAGCAAGTTACAATTTTGATGAGTTAGTTACAAAATTCAATATAAGTCGTCACATCAACAATGGGTTCGAGATCGACCACAAGTACAGGTTCTAAATTAAGCAACTGACATATGTGGAGAGCTAGTGTCACAATTTATATGTTTGTCCTGCACACCGCCCCCCATCCAGTGGGCAGCGGTGGATAGGTTACAATCACTTAGTTACTACCTACAGTTAGCAAACTGGGAATATTTGGCTAAAATTTCTGGTAGCAGATCATTTTGAATGAAATATTGACACATCGCTGGAACATTGGTTATAGAATTGTCTCTAAATTCACGTATCTTTTCGCACTCCATCACATAGTGCCGGAGGGTGTGCGAATAATATTGTTGACACAGTTTACATTTGGTCAGGTCTACATCAGCAGATAATGATAATTCCCAGAGATACTTGTAACCGACTCTAAGCCGAGCAGTAGTAACATCTAGAAGTCTGCTGCTTGCTCCGCCACGATCGTTACTTACTCATCTGGCAGCTTCATCAGTAACTACATCATGTGGGATCTACAGCCTGTCCTGCCGACCCTCCATCGCTGAAAGGGCACTGCTTGTGCTTGTCCTACAGGGACTCCCTCGACAGCTGCTCTTTCATCCGATTCATCTACCACGTTCATTGCATTCTGCTACGCTGCCGACTCAAGCACTTTCCTTGGGCAGTACATGACCTACAGCTTGCGTTTTCAACTCTTGACCGTCGCTTCCAGGACAATTCAGCTCTAGCAGGGTTTCCCTCGTTGTCCTAACTACGTACCTAGATTACCTTCTATGGCCTGGTGCCCGAACCCATCCGCCCCGGATCTAAATGTTCCACCAGAGACCCAAGGAATCAACAATCATGCACATTCTTTTCTCCTGTTCCGAGCTTGTCCACACACTGCCTGCATGTTTTTGTACCGAACTACATGCTCCACAACGACCCAGGGAACAGTAGCCTCGTAATTTTTTTTGTACTGTTTTTCTTTCATTCCCTGGGAGGGGGAGTTCCGTAGCGAGTACAAACAATATACTCACTAGTCTCTCATTAGCTTAATGGTGTAACTAATTAGCACTAATTACACAAGCTATAATCGTATCCCTATTTACAGGTAACATTCTTTCCATCCTGATGGAGGAAGCTGAGGTACGTGTAGTCAGCAAATATATGCAAGCGAATTGCAAATAGTCAGAAGTACAATTTCCACAGTGATTCAGTGAACTTCAGTTCAGACGCTTTGGATTGAACACACCTCAAGAATGTAGCACTCGGCGTGTACAGTTCCTACCGACCCAAGACGCTACAGCTTCGACACAGAGCAGACAGCAGACTATGACCGCATTAAGCTACAATGCTCTCACTCCCCATCGAGTTTAGACACTCACGATTCCCCATCGAGCCGTCACGCTCTCCTACATAGAGCTCCGCGACTCCGGCCTCACTCAGCTCTCTGCTCTGCTCCAAGCTCCGTCTCAACGTTTACGACACTGCCAACAACCGACTTCTGTAATCAAGACTACTAAATAAATATGAAACTCCCTAAACACTGTGTATCTAATCTACCCAACAACGTAACATATTCGTACGTTACAGTAGGTTACATGAAGTTTGTTAGGTAGAACTTAGTTTTCCCTCTTAAACTGGTTGAGAGAGGTACAGCCTTTGACATGATGCTATCGATGGCCATGGTATCATCATGCTATTGATGACCAGGGTATCATCATGCTATTGATGACCAGGGTATCATCATGCTATTGATGACCAGGGTATCATCATGCTATTGATGACCAGAGTCTCATCATGCTATTGATGACCAGAGTCTCATCATGCTATTGATGACCAGAGTCTCATCATGCTATTGATGACCATGGTCTCATCATGCTATTCATGACCAAACCACTCAAGAGATGTGACGACCACATTTCGGTCTGTCCTGGACCATTATTTATTTTACATTATACTCTTCTTCTATGTGCTAGCCATATGCTGTATTGTGACTACCAATTTTTGTCAACTACCATTCAAGCTGTCATTGCAACCAATCTTATATTGTTTCTGCTGTATTGTGCCTACCAATTTTTTGTCAACTACCATTCAAGCTGTCATTGCAATCAATCTCAGCTACCTATGTGCTTTAATATACTGTACCTACAATTTTCTCTCATCTTTTTTTCATTTCATGTAATCTGTTATCATTTTTTTGTCTATAATTTTTGCAAGTATTTACCTCCTTAAAATTTTCTTAGATTAAGGACCTGCCCGAAACGCTGCGCGTGCTAGTGGCTTTACAAGACTGTAATTACCATATTTGTATCCTCACATTCCTTATGTACATTCTTGTATATGCATAAATAAATAAATAAATAAATTTATTTAATATTTATTTATTATCAAGACGCTTGATCTAGGACGGACCGAAACGTCATCGTTTCGCCATCTTCTGGTGTGTGGTCTGGTCATCATATCTTCAGCCGCGTCATTGTGACTCATTGTCTGCATCATGTTAGTGTCTGCATCATGTTATTATGAGGGAATCCGTTGTCTAAATTATTTCTATGCGAGTCAAGCCTTGAAGAGCGTCACAGAAAACGGAGCCGGCGCTCGCGTGATACAAGCGACCAAACTGAACCACACCAACACTATCGCCATCATGTAAACTTTCTCTCTAATATACCTCCTGGCATGAAGAATAATGACAAGCGGAGACTAAGACGCCAGTCCCCTTCTTTGTAAATCGTATGTGTGGCGCAGAAGACTGAAGACATGCAAGATACAGGCGTAGTGATGAAGGAAGGAAGGTGACCCAGATAGACGCTAATCTGCATAAGCAATGTAAACTAAGTGTTGTGTGTGCATTATTAACGTGGTGTTAATACGTGGCTGCAGAGCTGAAGTGGCGTTAATAATGTCATATCCATCGAGAAGAGGAAGAATTAACAAGCGATGTGAGTTGGTCCCGGAGCTCACCTATAGGGTAGGAGGGCACGTGGGGAGGGTATTGGGTATGGCAGGTCCACGAAGCACATTTCTACTGTAGTCCACGAAGTGTCAAAATTGTGTTTATCATTAGGTTATGCTCTGTTAGGTTCTGTTCTCTCCTGTTTGTAAACATTCAATCTTTGTTTATTAGTGAAGGAATGAACTCCATCCTTCCCTAAGTCTCAAAACTCCAAACCAGTCTAACTGTACCCAAATTTATTTATTTATTTATATACAAGAAGGTACATTGGATTTATGAGAGTGCATAGCATTGATGTTTTTACGTTCTTGTAAAGGCATTAACACGCATAGCACTTCGGGCAGGTCCTTAATCTAAGGACCTGCCCAAAGAATTAACTTCCTCTACTGTAGAAATTACATATGGTGAGCCTAATGTCACGGTTTATCTGTGGATTTAAGTATTCTATGCAATAGAACTATCTTTTGTAAACAGTTTTGGAATAAACTATTCCAGGTAAAATATACTGTATTCACCTAGTTGTATTCACCTAGTAGTGCTTGCAGGAGTTGAGCTCTGCTCTTTCGGCCCACCTCTCAACTGTCAGTCAACTCAATACAGTGGCACCTCGACTTTCGATTGCCCCGACTTACGATAATTTCGAGTTACGATATAAATTTGATCGGAAAATGCGACTCGAGTTATGATAGTGTCGTCGACTAAGGTATTTGTTGATACACGTTCGGGTCGATCAAGCGCATGGTTCCCGGTCGCACGGGCCGACCTGCCTCAGTTTACTAGAGCCGCCTGCTTAGTGACAATTACCCTTATAAGAAAATCTATTTTTGGTGATTTATTTTTTTGCTTTTGGAACATAAAACTGATTATTATATATCACGCCATGGGTCCCAAGAAAGTCAGTGGTAAGGTCCAACATATGAAAACACATGTGAGGATGACCATAGAGGCAGTACAGAATATCCCTTCCTCAAAAATTAAGAAAATGTGTGCAGCATGGGAAGAACTGTAATTTTTTGCTGAAACGACTCACCAAAACAAGCTGTAGTAGGCCGTTGCCTTAACCTTTTCAATAACACTGTGATGCATCACTACAGACAAATGTTAAAACGAAGGAAAAAGCAAGTGTCACTAGACAGATTTTTAGTGAGACAAACTAGCAGTGAATCACAACCAGGTCCTAGTGGTATGCAGGCAAAACGTAGGAGAGAGTTTACCCCAGAGAAATCATCACTGCCTGATGTTATAATGGAAGCGGACTCCCTTTCCAAACAGTAACACCTCTTCTCCCCCCCCCTCCTCACCATCTTCCATACGCCAACAGAAGTCATCAGTAAAGGTTAGTAATAACTTGTACATACTTTTGTAGTGAAGGTTTGGGTGAGTTAGGTATAAAATTTACTTTGATGTTAATTTTTGGGGAAATCAGGAACGAATTAATTCATTTCCCTTTATTTCTTATGGGAAAAATCGTTTCGACTTACAATATTTCGAATTTACGATACGTCTCTGGGAACGAGATTACCATCGTAAATCGAGGCCCCACTGTATACTTGTTTGTCTCACTACACATTTGTCAATAGACATTTGTTTTTCCCTTCATTTTAACATTTGTCTGTAATGATGCATCACAGTGTCATTGAATAGGTTAAGGCAACAACCTACTGCAGCTTGATTTGGGTGAGTCGTTTCAGCAAAGGTTTGCAATTCTTCCCATGCTGCACACATTTTCTTAATTGTTGAGGAAGAGACATTCTGTACTCTTGTTTCTGCTCTATGGTCATCCTTACATGGGTTTTCATATGTTGAGCCTTACCACTGACTTTCCTGGGACTCATGGCGTGATATATAATAATTATTTTAATGTTCAAAATGCAAAAAATCACCACAAAAGCAGAATTTCTTATAGGCGCGATCGTCACTAAGCGGGCAGCTGTAGTAAACTGAGGCAGGTCGGCCGCGTGACTGGGAACCACGCACTCGGTCGACCCGAACGTGTACCAACAAATATCGGAAGTCGATGATACCATTGGATGTCGAGTCGCATTTTTCAATGAAATTTACATCGTAACTCGAAATTATCGTAAGTAGGGGCAATCGTATGTCGAGGTGCCACTGTATAAACACACATGCTTCCTGTCCCCCGACAAAACAAATAATTATAATGTAATTGTTGAACATTTTCAGAGAGTTTGTAGGTGCTTATTTGTGCTTGGATATGAAGCAAAAAGCTCCCAAAGTACTAATACACTACATTAAAAAATGAGATCGGCAAAAATGATAAACATTCACTGTATTCCAAGGCGTTAATAAAAAATGGTGAAAAATTAAAGCTTTTATTTTGTTTAACAGATTTGGACAATACCGTAAAACAGAGTTTACCAAGGCAGGGATATGGACAACATGGAGGTTCAAGAGAAGAGTTTAACATGCAGCCGCAATCCACAAGAATCCCACATTATGAGGAGGATCCATTTTGGTAAGATAGCATGAAACTAAAAAGAATTCTTTACTGTAATTGTTCATGAGGAAATTTATTTTGAATGACATTTTTTCAAAGATTCAGACAATTTGAAACCTCATTTTTCTGCCTTTCATTTAGATCTGTGGTTCCCAACCAGGAACCCATGAGACTAATACTAATGCAGTCCCCGCAGCATAGTGGTAAAGCACTCGCCCGGCGCCTCGCGAGCGCTTTGGCCTGGGTTCGTATCCTGGCCGGGGAGGATTGACTGGGTACCAGTCCTTAACTGTAGCCTCTGTTGATTCAGCAGTGAATGGGTAACTGGTTGTTAAATGATTTGCTGGGTCATATTTCAAGGAAAACACTAGGATTAAGGACCTGCCCGAAATGCTATGCATGCTAGTGGCTTTACAAGAATGTAAGAACCCTTGTACAGTGTATATATATATTAAAAAAAAATATATGTACTCTATATGTACATATATGTTATTGTACACTATATGTTATTGTACTCTAACAAAATATGAACTACTTATGCGTTAAGCTGAATATCTCCTGTCAATTTTGCTAGTTTGATCTATTTTGTTGTAGAGGTCCACAGGTGAGAATGTGGGTGTAGGGGTCCACAGGTGAGAATGTGGGTGTAGGGGTCCACAGGTGAAAATGTGGTTGTAGGGGTCCACAGATGAGAATGTGGTTATAGGGGTCCACAGGTGAGAATGTGGTTGTAGGGGTCCACAGATGAGAATGTGGTTATAGGGGTCCACAGGTGAGAATGTGGCTGTAGGGGTCCACAGATGAGAATGTGGTTATAGGGGTCCACAGGTGAGAATGTGGTTGTAGGGGTCCACAGATGAGAATGTGGTTATAGGGGTCCACAGGTGAGAATGTGGTTGTAGGGGTCCACAGATGAGAATGTGGTGTAGGGGTCCACAGGTGAGAATGTGGTGTAGGGGTACACAGGTGAGAATGTGGTGTAGGGGTCCACAGGTGAGAATGTGGTGTAGGGGTCCACAGGTGAGAATGTGGTGTAGGGGTCCACAGATGAGAATGTGGTTATAGGGGTCCACAGGTGAGAATGTGGTGTAGGGGTCCACAGGTGAGAATGTGGTGTAGGGGTCCACAGATGAGAATGTGGTTATAGGGGTCCACAGGTGGAAACGTGGATTATAGGGGTCCACAGGTGAAAACGTGGATTATAGGGGTCCACAGGTGAGAATGTGGTTGTAGGGGTCCACAGATGAGAATGTGGTGTAGGGGTCCACAGGTGAGAATGTGGTGTAGGGGGTACACAGGTGAGAATGTGGTGTAGGGGTCCACAGGTGAGAATGTGGTGTAGGGGTCCACAGGTGAGAATGTGGTGTAGGGGTCCACAGATGAGAATGTGGTTATAGGGGTCCACAGGTGAGAATGTGGTGTAGGGGTCCACAGGTGAGAATGTGGTGTAGGGGTCCACAGATGAGAATGTGGTTATAGGGGTCCACAGGTGAGAATGTGGTGTAGGGGTCCACAGGTGAGAATGTGGTGTTGGGGTCCACAGGTGAGAATGTGGTGTAGGGGTCCACAGGTGAGAATGTGGTGTAGGGGTCCACAGGTGAGAATGTGGTTGTAGGAGTCCACAGGTGAGAATGTGGGTGTAGGGGTCCACAGGTGAGAATGTGGTGTAGGGGTCCACAGGTGAGAATGTGGTGTAGGGGTCCACAGGTGAGAATGTGGTGTAGGGGTCCACAGGTGAGAATGTGGTGTAGGGGTCCACAGGTGAGAATGTGGTGTAGGGGTCCACAGATGAGAATGTGGTTGTAGGGGTCCACAGGTGAGAACATGGTTGTAGGGAGTCTACAGGCGAGAAGATGGTTGTTGGTAGTCGAGAAGTGAGAATATGGTTGTAGGGAGTCCACAGTGAAAATGTATATGGAAAAGAAATGAGACAAAAGAAATGAGACATGAAAGGTTAGCAACTACTGATTTAGACAAAATGATGTAGTGTCAGTGTTGAAATATGAGAGATGGCTGTTGACTGCATGGTACAGAAAAACTCCATGAAGCTCAAAATATCTTTACCCAACGTTTTGATAGGTTCATTCATCTTAAAGAGTAAAAACAAAGACAAAGCCACCAGTGGCTAGTTAAAGGTCTTCCATTATTCCCCAAGGATATTTCCAGTTGAATTTTCAACTTTACGTACTGTAATGTCTTGGCATGTACAGCTTTGGCAGTTTGGCGATTCCATGGGTTTATTACCCTGTGTGTTATATATACAGTATCAATACAATACAATACAATACAATTTTATTTAGGTAAGGTACATACATACAATAAATATTTACAAGGATTGTTTGACTTATAGGTAGAGCTAGTACATACAATGCCTAAAGCCACTATTACGCAAAGCATTTCGGGCATGAATTCATGCCCGAAATCATGCTTTCTGTCCTTCATTGTGGTGTGTTGAGCATGAAGCGGTTGTCCCTGGTATATGCATTACATTGGACTTTTTCATGAAGATTTTAGAAGCTGGTAATTTTCAATTTGTGTTAATCTTGAAAAATTTTCTGAACCTAAATTTAATATTTAGTAAAGGTTTCCTTGGCAAAGAAGCATGGTTTTGGCCTTACAATTTTACTGCATATTGCAGTTTAATACTGTAAACAATTTTTAGATTTTCATGTGCTTGGTCTGTCTGACTGAAGTGTCTGAATGATGTGTTTGGTTTGTCTGAATAATGTTCTTAGGCTGTCTGAATTATGTGCTTGGTCTGACCGAATGATGTGCTTGGGCTGTCTGATGTGCTTGAGCTGTCTGAATGATGTGCTTGGGCTGTCTGAATGATGTGCTTGGGCTGTCTGATGTGCTTGAGCTGTCTGAATGATGTTCTTGGGCTGTCTGAATGATGTGCTTGGGCTGTCTGAATGATGTGCTTGGGCTGTCTGAATGATGTGCTTGGGCTGTCTGATGTGCTTAAGCTGTCTGAATGATGTGCTTGGTCTCTCTGAATGATGTGCTTATGCTATCTGAATGATGTGCTTGTGCTATCTGAATGATGTTCTTGTGCTCTCTGAATGACGTGCTTGGTTTGTCTGAATGATGTGCTTGTGCTCTCTGAATGATGTGCTTGGTTTGTCTGAATGATGTGCTTGTGCTCTCTGAATGATGTGCTTGGTTTGTCTGAATGATGTGTTTGTGCTATCTGAATGATGTGCTTGTGCTATCTGAATGATGTGCTTGTGCTCTCTGAATGATGTGTTTGGTTTGTCTGAATGATGTGCTTGTGCTCTCTGAATGATGTGCTTGGTTTGTCTGAATGATGTGCTTGTGCTATCTGAATGATGTGCTTGTGCTATCTGAATGATGTGCTTGTGCTCTCTGAATGATGTGCTTGGTTTGTCTGAATGATGTGCTTGGTCTGTCTGAATGATGTGCTTGTGCTATCTGAATGATGTGCTTGGTCTGTCTGAATGATGTGCTTGTGTTATCTAAATGATGTGCTTGTGCTCTCTGAATGATGTGCTTGGTTTGTCTGAATGATGTGCTTGTGCTCTCTGAATGATGTGTTTGGTTTGTCTGAATGATGGGCTTGTGCTATCTGAATGATGTGCTTATGCTATCTGAATGATGTGCTTATGCTATCTGAATGATGTGCTTGTGCTCTCTGAATGATGTGTTTGTGCTCTCTGAATGATGTGCTTGGTCTGTCTGAATGATGTTCTTGTGCTATCTGAATGATGTGCTTGTGCTATCTGAATGATGTGCTTGGTCTGTCTGAATGATGTGCTTGTGCTCTTTGAATGATGTGTTTGGTTTGTCTGAATGATGTGCTTGTGCTATCTGAATGATGTGTTTGTGCTCTCTGAATGATGTGCTTGGTCTGTCTGAATGATGTTCTTGTGCTATCTGAATGATGTGCTTGTGCTATCTGAATGATGTGCTTGGTCTGTCTGAATGATGTGCTTGTGCTCTTTGAATGATGTGTTTGGTTTGTCTGAATGATGTGCTTGTGCTATCTGAATGATGTGCTTGTGCTATCTGAATGATGTGCTTGGTCTGTCTGAATGATGTTCTTGTGCTATCTGAATGATGTGCTTGTGCTATCTGAATGATGTTCTTGTGCTATCTGAATAATGTGCTTGTGCTATCTGAATGATGTGTTTGTGCTATCTGATTGATGGGCTTGTGCCTTCTGAATGATGTACTCGTGCTATCTGAATGATGTGTTTGGTTTGTCTGAATGATGTGCTTGTGCTATCTGAATGATGTGCTTGGTTTGTCTGAATGATGTGCTTGTGCTATCTGAATGATGTGCTTGTGCTCTCTGAATGATTTACTTGTGCTATCTGAATGATGTGTTTGGTTTGTCTGAATGATGTGCTTGTGCTCTCTGAATGATGTGTTTGGTTTGTCTGAATGATGTGCTTGTGCTATCTTAATTATGTGCTTGTGCTATCTGAATGATGTGCTTGTGCTCTCTGAATGATGTGCTTGTGCTATCTGAATGATGTGCTTGTGCTGTCTGAATGATGTGCTTGTGATATCTGAATGATGTGTTTGTGCTCTCTGAATGATGTGCTTGGTTTGTCTGAATGATGTGCTTGTGCTATCTGAATGATGTGCTTGTGCTCTCTGCATGATGTGCTTGGTTTGTTGTAATGACCCTGTCGTAATAACCGCGGCCTCTATAGTAATAACCCAATGTTCCCCAGTATTAATCCTGTTATCTTGTGATCTCTCATAATCGTACTATATTGTAATTCTCTGTCTCTCTTCACTCAATACCCCAGCTTAACACTGTTACAGTCCAGCATGACCCCTCACTGGACTGCCACGTATATAAGAGGAATATTAAATGAGGAAGATACACCAAGGATAAGGGTTATTAATTTATTACTAATTATAAAATAAAAACCATTAAAGCACTGCCACCACCTTCCCGACCAACCATACCTGAATGTGTCTTATCACGGATCCCCCAGGAAGGCAAGGAATCAGTAACCATGGGACTCCGGGTAATATGACTTTCAGTAATAAATTTTGGAAAATTAGTTTGTGTAATTTACGTTACTAATTTAAATCCAAGGGCAACTTTAGTATCGATTAATTGTAGGAGAACCTGGGGGCTTCCAATACAACACCTAAAAATGACAAAGTAGCAAAATATATCAAAGGGGAGTTAAGTGAATACCACTGGACAAGCTATACAATTTATTTTATGAAACATGTAAATTAAGACAATTTGAATACATAACCTATTCTATTTCCCTAGAGGCACAATGGATATTTACTGAGGGCACGAAACTCAAGTGCTACTATACCTTAAATACCCGCACTACGGCCCAGATGTTGATGGCTGCCCTCAGCCCCTAGGATACGGGCTTGCGGCCCTGTTCCTAATACACTCCCAAGACACACTGATGAAATTTTGTTTAACCAACTTATTGCTGGGAAGGATTACTCCTCCCACCATCTAATACAGCACCAGGGCTCCACCCATTATTTTGGAAATGGCCAACCATTTAACACGTAGGCCTGAGGTCTGGCTCTCTAGGGCCAATAAGGACTTGGCCCTTATCTCAGGCCAATCACCTTCACTGATCTGCTGTGGAAAGCTACATGAATTCCTGAAGATTGAGTCAGCTCTCCCCAGCTATGAGAAGGGAGACAAGGCGCCTCTATGGAGCCCCAGTACACCTGCGAGCAATGTTTACAAAACTGATAAATTATGTTCAAGCCTGTCTCCTCTAAGATACGAGTAGGGACATTTGACTCTGCCTGGTATGGGGAAGGGACCGGTGAGAGGGGATGAGAGGGGGATGGAGAGGGAAATATCTGAGTGGGGAAGTTGAGTGGGAGAAGCCAAGGTATCCAAGACCACCCCCAGGTCAACCTCTTGACCCTGACAAATAGGCGACAGGGGGGGGGGAAGAGGAGACGAATGACGGCCAAGGGGAGGGGAGAAGGAGAAGGAGAGGAGGGGAGAAGGAGAAGGAAAGGAGGGGAGAAGGGAGAACTAATGATCTGAGCCCCAGATCATTACATTGTCTGAATGATGTGCTTGTCCTATCTGAATGATGTGCTTGTGCTCTCTGAATGATGTGCTTGTGCTCTCTGAATGATGTGCTTGTGCTCTCTGAATGATGTGCTTGGTCTGTCTGAATGATGTGCTTGTGCTATCTGAATGATGTTCTTGTGCTATCTGAATAATGTGCTTGTGCTATCTGAATGATGTGCTTGTGCTCTCTGAATGTGTTTGGTTTGTTTGAATGATATGCTTGTGCTCTCTGAATGATGTGCTTGTGCTCTCTGAATGTGTTTGGTTTGTTTGAATGATATGCTTGTGCTCTCTGAATGATGTGCTTGTGCTTTCTGAATGATGTGTTTGGGCTGTATGAATGATGTGTTTGGGCTGTATGAATGATGTGCTTGTGCTCTCTGAATGATGTGTTTGGTTTGTCTGAATGATGTGCTTGTGCTCTCTGAATGATGTGTTTGGGCTGTATGAATGATGTGCTTGTGCTCTCTGAATGATGTGTTTGGTTTGTCTGAATAATGTGCTTGTGCTCTCTGAATGATGTGTTTGGGCTGTATGAATGATGTACTTGGACTGTATGAATGATGCGCTTTGGCTGTCTGAATGATGTGCTTGGTCTCAATGATGTGCTTGGGTTGTCTGAATAGACTTTAACCTTTTCATGCCGTTAAGGCCATCTTGACAGTTGAGATTGTAACTTTTTGTTTGTTCTTGTTCTTTGAGATTGTTCTTGGAAAATATTAATTAATTTTTTATATTGAACATGATATAAACTGTTAAAAGAAACTTAATTTTTTTCAGGGTGGCGAGACAAGATGATTCAAATCGTAACAGAGACCATCACACGAACTCAAGTTATAATTATCAAGGAATCCAACATGAACCAGAGCACGCAACCTTATCCAATCATCGTGGGGGGTGGAGCGGTGGGAGGAAAGCCAAGCAGTCGGGAAAAGGAATGCGTGGAAGAGCAGTGGCAAAAGCTGAACCTCCATTGGTGTTGGGGGGCATTCCTCACTTAAAACGTTCTTTTGTTATGAATAAACACTCTAGTAATGATGAACCACTTGGTGAGAGAAAAGCTTTATCTAAAGTAGAAAGTGGAAATGAATGTAGTACAAGTATTCACACATCAAACGTCTATGATGAAAATAGCAGAAACACAGGCCCAGCGGGAGATGAGAGATACACAGGCAGCAAAAAGGAAAATGTTCATAACGTTATGGGAAGTGAATCTTGGCCTCAGCATTGCAGCCCTGCCGATAACACCCAAGCTGCAAAGTACGAACAAAACGCTCCTGGTAGACATAATCAGGCACCTGAGGCCAGTTCTCTTGGACTCTCAAGTGAGAGTGTTAAAGGCAGCGTTGTTAGCGAATCACAAAATGTTACTAATTTCAACAATGATAAGAAAGCAAATTATGGGAGGTCGTGTGAAGGTGATAGTACTGGTGGTCAGGCACTTGCAGCACCTTCACAGCCATCTGTCCTTGCTGATCATGTAGAGCTAGAGTTGGAGACAGAACGCTACTATGATGAGATATTAGGAAAAGATTCTGAAAAGAAGGAGGCAGAGAAGCTGTCGGCATCACAAGTAGCCAAAATCACTATCAGCTACAAAACCGATGAAGAACAGAAGCAGGTAGAAGTGGAGAGAATAAAAGAGGCAGAGCAGAGAGAAAAAGAGAGACAGGTTCAGATAGATACAGCTTGGTCTGTTTTACACCAATACTGGCAGTTTGTCAGAGAAAATCCATATGACTTCAATGGATGGACATATCTCTTGAATCATGTTGAAAGTATGGTAAGTAGACATATAATGTCTTATTATTAGTTAATATTTTTCACTCCATTTATCTTATTTTTCTTGGGATGAATTTTGTATTTTCCGAGTAAGTTCTCTTGGTAGTTTCCCATGCCTAATGCACTGGGTTTGTCAGGAGAGACTATTTGCCTAGCTCGTAGTGACTGCCCCCAAGGAGACGAGTATCATTACAAATAGTCCTAACCCAGCTTTTAATTGGGCAGAGTGCAATTGCAGTGCACTCCATAGTGCAGTGTGCACTATGGAGTGCACACTTCAATCCACTATGAAGTATCCACTTATTATACAACTTGTCCTCTAGAATAATACATTGCATTTTGATGTACTGTATAAATCTCGAAAGGCCGAAATATGATGCATTGTAAGTCATAGCAGTTTGCAAAATAGATGGGATATGTTGTCTATTTGTGGGTTCCTGGTTGGTTTAGGTTCTGGCAGTTTAGTACATAATTTTTGTGATGTTGCGACAACTAGAGAGGATGTGCTGCACTGTAACATACACACCTCAAATCAATCAAAACTTTCTCCAATTAAATCTTGGGGTCTTGAAATTGACCATGACTCACTCTGAACGTAATGAAGCAACTAAGTACCCTGGCTGCTGTGTCACATCTTATCCAGGGAAGAAATGCCAGCCTACTCTAAGCATGGCACTTCATTTACCTCGGACTCCACCCGATCTCCGCAACATAGTGAATGTGAAATGATACTTGTGGGATTGTCACAGAGACCTGGTGCAGCCAGTGTGGCCATTGAATGGCTGCCATTATGCATGGGAAACTATTAAGGTGCCACCCCAGAAAGAGATATTTCATTATAATATCTTTAAGTTTTCTTACTGTATGCAGACATAGAAGTATGTTTATCTTTATGACCCTATTGTAATCAAACAATGAAGCATATTTAGTAATATCATTAAAGTTTGAACAATATTACATTATCATTTGAAAATAGTGGAGGGTTATACTGTATATTTCAGTACTGTACTTCTAATGTTAATAATGCAAGCTCAGCAATGCTCTAGTTTACTATACCACTTGAGTCTGCTGTGTTCGTATTTTCCAGGATAATTTGGAAGCTGCACGCTCTGCTTTTGATGGATTCTTGCCACTATATCCATATTGCTTTGCCTATTGGAAAAAGTTAAGTGACATGGAGTTGAAGCACAGTGAAATTAAAAGGTAAGCATCCCCTCCATTAATTTGATTTTATTGTAATTAATAATTTGATTCAATTTTATGTTACCTAATTTTATTCAATATGAAGTAACTCAAAATTTGTATACATACTGGTACAGGCAACCTGCAGTTTGTGAGGTTTTGCATCATGTGTTTTTGTATAACTGCGAGTTAGCAATTTCATTGAAGGCAAACCTTTACTCAGGATGAGCATGTTGGTTATAGGATAATGACTAAACCAGTAAGCTCATCCAAGCTGTCTCATCAGAAATAAAGTAGAAGATGGAAGAAATATAATGTTAATGTAAGGATCCATAAATACCATGGAGAATGTTGTATGTATGACAGTGGCAGATTGGTCCCCCCGCCATTCTCCATGTGGGTTGTAGCATACTCGCCTTTGCTTCCTGTTCCCATACTGTCCACCTACCTTCGTGTTTTTATTTGTAATCAATCCTATCAACACTTACTTATCCTAAAATAAGAAGTGGAGAAGCACATTAGCTCTGAGTAAATGCAATGACAACTGGCAACTTGCTGTGGCTTCTTGCTCACCGCTGCCTGGTACATCTTCTATTTCTCTCTTTACGTACACATAAATAGCCTCCTCAACACTTTTATCCTTGATAAAGTGAGAAAATCATAAGTTCTGCACTGTACACAAGTAGTTAATAATTTGAGTCATGTATAATGACAAATTTGCATGATAAAATAAGTAGGAGTGGCAGGTGGCTGCGAGCTGCTCCAGCAGAGGTGATAAAATAAGTAGGAGTGGCAGGTGGCTGTGAGCTGCTCCAGCAGAGGTGATAAAATAAGTAGGAGTGGCAGGTGGCTGCGAGCTGCTCCAGCAGGGGTGGCAGGTGGCTGCGAGCTGCTCCAGCAGGGGTGATAAAATAAGTGGGAGTGGCAGGTGGCTGTGAGCTGCTCCAGCTGGGGTGATAAAATAAGTAGGAGTGGCAGGTGGCTGCGAGCTGCTCCAGCAGGGGTGGCAGGTGGCTGTGATCTCCCCCAGCAGGGGTGATAAAATAAGTAGGAGTGGCAGGTGGCTGTGAGCTCCCCCAGCAGGGGTGATAAAATAAGTAGGAGTGGCAGGTGGCTGTGAGCTCCCCCAGCAGGGGTGATAAAATAAGTAGGAGTGGCAGGTGGCTGCGAGCTCCCCCAGCAGGGGTGGCAGGTGGCTGCGAGCTCCCCCAGCAGGGGTGGCAGGTGGCTGCGAGCTCCCCCAGCAGGGGTGATAAAATAAGTAGGAGTGGCAGGTGGCTGCGAGCTGCTCCAGCAGGGGTGATAAAATAAGTGGGAGTGGCAGGTGGCTGTGAGCTGCTCCAGCAGGGGTGGCAGGTGGCTGTGAGCTGCCCCAGCAGGGGTGATAAAATAAGTAGGAGTGGCAGGTGGCTGTGATCTCCCCCAGCAGGGGTGATAAAATAAGTAGGAGTGGCAGGTGGCTGTGAGCTCCCCCAGCAGGGGTGATAAAATAAGTAGGAGTGGCAGGTGGCTGTGAGCTCCCCCAGCAGGGGTGATAAAATAAGTAGGAGTGGCAGGTGGCTGTGAGCTGCTCCAGCAGGGGTGGCAGGTGGCTGTGAGCTCCTCCAGCAGGGGTGATAAAATAAGTAGGAGTGGCAGGTGGCTGTGAGCTCCCCCAGCAGGGGTGGCAGGTGGCTGTGAGCTCCCCCAGCAGGGGTGATAAAATAAGTAGGAGTGGCAGGTGGCTGCGAGCTCCCCCAGCAGGGGTGATAAAATAAGTAGGAGTGGCAGGTGGCTGTGAGCTCCCCCAGCAGGGGTGATAAAATAAGTAGGAGTGGCAGGTGGCTGCGAGCTCCCCCAGCAGGGGTGGCAGGTGGCTGCGAGCTCCCCCAGCAGGGGTGATAAAATAAGTAGGAGTGGCAGGTGGCTGTGAGCTGCTCCAGCAGGGGTGATAAAATAAGTAGGAGTGGCAGGTGGCTGCGAGCTCCCCCAGCAGGGGTGGCAGGTGGCTGCGAGCTCCCCCAGCAGGGGTGATAAAATAAGTAGGAGTGGCAGGTGGCTGTGAGCTGCTCCAGCAGGGGTGATAAAATAAGTAGGAGTGGCAGGTGGCTGCGAGCTCCCCCAGCAGGGGTGGCAGGTGGCTGCGAGCTCCCCCAGCAGGGGTGGCAGGTGGCTGCGAGCTCCCCCAGCAGGGGTGGCAGGTGGCTGCGAGCTCCCCCAGCAGGGGTGATAAAATAAGTAGGAGTGGCAGGTGGCTGCGAGCTGCTCCAGCAGGGGTGAGTGTAGCTCATCAAAAAAGCATGCATATTTTACTGGTGTAAATACATTTATGCTACATCACATTCAAAAAAGGTGACAGATGGGAGAAATAGATTGTTTATTAATTTGAGAATCATATATAACATATATGCTCATCTATATATGCATATATATGCATGATCATTTATATGTGATGTTTGGTCAAATATTCACTAAAAGTTGGGGGAAGTGCATTTAGGTGGTGTCTGTGACTAATTACCAGATTGCCTTTAACATATAGAGAAAAGAATACACTAGTAAACCTATCAAAGATAAAATAAAGTAACTAAATATAGTACAGCAATATATATATATAATCAATCAAAGCTATCTCGTCATAAAGTAAAAATGGTTGAAATTGAATGCTTGTTAATGTAAAAGTCATTTATAACAAATTTTTCATTTTGACATGATCTTCTGGATATTGTATATATATCCACTAGAGTTTAGGAGAAGCATGTTGTGGTGGCATCCATCGCTACTCGGCAGCGTTTGTGTGGCGGAATGTCCATCTTCTTCTTCTTCACCTTCAGCCCTATGTAGCTCCTTCAGTAAATGATTTTTAAGTTTACTGACTAACTGTAGATTGACAGTGTAGGTAGGTGTCTTGCTTTTTATTATACAGTCCAGTAGTTGAAAAGCTGTGTGAAATAGAGTGGAATGTGATTTTTGCACTGTTTACATTCTTCTTCTCATTCTAATGTCTCTGTCTTCAACTTTGCCTTTGTCTTAATCTTTGTTTTTTCAACTCTTGCCCATTTTCTCCTCTCTCCCCTGTCCTTATTTTCTTCTCCTCTCTCTCCCCTGTCCTTATTTTCTTCTCCTCTCTCTCTCCTGTCCTTATTTTCTTCTCCTCTCTCTCTCCTGTCCTTATTTTCTTCTCTCTCTCTCCTGTCCTTATTTTCTTCTCCTCTCTCCTCCTCCTTTTCTATTTTCTTCTTTGTCCTCCTTGACTTATTATTCTCCCTGAATTCATTATGCTCCCTGTACTCATTATATTCTGGGTACTCATTATAATGCAGGTATTCATTACAGAAGCCATTAATCATTGCCCCACATCTTCTCATTTCACCACTCTTAATATTGTGACATATGCTGGCCTGGGAATACTTCTCTTGATTTGCTTATGATTAATCCATTATTGTACAGTACAGTATTTGTATTCTCTAACTTATGTAATCTGTTTCCACCCATGTTTCTTGAAAAGGACTTATCAAAAGGAGAGCCAGTTAAGTCCTTATTTTGACAATTTAATGAAACCTCTGATGACCAGCCTATGTATTTTTATTTTGGAAACTAAACAATTTAGTAACAACAAAATAATTATTTTATTTTACAGGTGCCTTGGTATTCTTCTGATTGGTACTGAATGTGTACCATTTTGTACAGACTTGTGGCTATCGCTGCTAAATAACATGATCATGTATGTGAAGCAGATGGATTTGCCTTCTCATTTGGTACAAGAGTGAGTAGTAGAATGAATTTTATTTTACATTTGAGCGTTATTTTGACTGCCGGCAGCATGTCAAAGGTACATACCCCCCATTCTTCTTGAGGACTATCCAGCTGAATTTTGAACTGTAGTAATGTCTTGACATTTACAGCTTTGTCAGGTAGGTGGTTCCATAGGAAACATAGTTCAGTGAACCCGAGCTCTGATTATAAGATAGTCTTACATATATGTTAATGTCTGTTACTGTGCATCACACACTTTCTGCTTCAGTACGGTTTAAGGTCGGACTAACCTGTCCTCCCATGTAGTATATCACGTTTTTAATGGAATTGGCCAATAAAACTACTGGGTTGTAGTCAGAAGTAAAGCATCATTATACTGTATTGACATGTGCATCAGTCTCGATAAGTTAGGTTGGTTGCTTAGGTTTCTGGTTAGACAATACAGCTGTGTTTCTGTGGGGATCCACATTGGCTCCCTGAAGCTATCCAAACTGATATAATGCTATATTAGTTGGGGTCGTCAGTCACAGAGTTCTTATGCCTAGCGGGGGACCACGAGCCAGAACCTGACCCCCCCGGCACTCAGAAAGGCACAGGAAACAATGGCCTATGATCACTTTATATTTAAAGTATGTCATACTTGCCATCAACTGGGGAAAGACCGAGAAAGGTAGGCATATGAAAATGGACCACTGTCTGGTTAAAAATTGTAAGATACATCCTCAAAATAGCAAAAGACCCCCCCCCCCATAAGAAAACAAACAAGCAACACTTTATACAACTCATTTGTTGGATGGTAGCACTCATTAGTGCTACCCTCCCCTCCATAGGGCCAGGGAGAGCTGCCCCAGGTTAGCCAGAATCCCACCAGCTCAGTTCTTGAACTGATGTGCTGGCGGTAGGATGTCACCTCTGGTTCTTTCCCAGCTCACTGGGTTCGGGTTCCTGGTGAACTGGCTGAAGTTCCAGTTGGTTCCATCCCAGGTTTGGACTTCGATGGGCTTTGTGTGGGATTCTCAGACGCCATCCGTTTCTCTCCCTCCCACAGCCTTGCTTTGGCTGCGGTCCTGCCATGGGCAGGTTTTTAGGGGGGGACCCGGATCACTCTGCGGTTGGTTGAGCAGCTTTGTGGGAGCCTGAACTTTGCTCTGCTGGTTTATCCTCTGGGCAGGGTTTGGTATCGTAGGCTGTTCTGGTATCTTCGGGGCAGCCTCTTTCGCCGCTCTTGCGATCACTGGGTTCATTCCCCAGTGTCCTTGCGCCAGTTGCTACGTCACTGGCTTCCTCTTCAGGTTTTTCGGGGTTCGGTGGTATGGAGCCTTCCTCTTCTCTCGCTTGATGTGTTTATGAATGCTTTGTCTCTCGGATGAGGCTTTGTGACCAGTGCTCATCAGTCCAGCCAGGGACATTGGCAGCTGTCCTTGCATCGGGCTCACCGCACGGTGCGGGAGTTTGCGGATGTGTGGCAGGCACTGCAGCGGATTTGGCTCCCTCGCCTTTCGCCCGTCAATGGCACAAACTGCGAAAAAGCCAACGCACCGTACGAGAAGCTAAACGGCGCACAGGGTGATCACCGTGCCGACCAGAAAAAGATGGAACCGAAGGCTGCACCTGCCCCGAATCTGGCACCACTGGCCTACCACGACAGGAAGAACCCCGAGCCCTCACACAACCCTTCTGGGAAAGGACCCCCACGAGCCCTCCAGAGGACCAAGAAGTCCGTCATAGGACGACAACTAGAAGCCGCCGCCAACAGATACTGCAGCACGACAGATTCCGCAAAGAGCGAAGGACAAAAAGGCGAAGACAACCTAAGAGCCCAAGCGGATACCAAAGAAGAAGCCAAAAGGCCTGCCAACACACAAGTTGAGAGGCAAAAACTGCGAAAACTGCATGTTGTAGGAGCGGCTCGAACATCTGCAACAAGGTAGACAACGCTCGTGCCGCCACGGTAAAAGGACCAGACCGAGAGGTGGCCCCAAATGCCACCACCTTCAACCCGAGCTAAGCTAAGGAGAACTCGAGGAGGGAGAAAACACAGAGCCGATGCCAGCAGCCGAAAGAGAGGTAATCTGCACAAGAAGCTGCAACAAGCAAACACCCCACGGAAGGGAAGGAGCGAACGAACATGCAATAAGATGCAAAGGAGCTCCCCCAACAAAACGCGGGCAGTCTATCAACCAAGACAACTCTGGAACTCCGTAACGAAGCTAGTACGGACAAGAACCACACATGAAGGAATGCAGACCCAACACAAAAGCAGAAACCTGATCGCGCAGAAGGTAGCTCCAAGGACTTCCCGTACCACATTAGAAGGGACGCGGGAAGCCGAAAACCTAAGGAAGACGGGACCGAAAAACCCACGGGACCACGGAACCGAACCCGGGAGGGGTAGACGCCAAATCTAATCGGAAGAGGAGGGAGCGCAAGAGAATGAACAAATCCACAAGGGCCGTGACGAGGATTTGAAGGTAATGGCCCTTGTGGATTTGTTCATTTGATGCATCACGCTATTGTGATTTCTGTGTGTAGCGAAAGAGAACCTTTCCTTTTGCAAAACCAAGCCCCCTCCCCGAGGGTATAAAAACCCTGGCAGAGACCAACAGAGCCAAAGGCCCTCTCAAGTCAACCCCTTTCCCGCCCTGGGACCCTTACCCTGATGTCCTGGGGACGAGCCATCCCCCCAAAGCCCCACCTCACAAGAAAAATCCGGGGCAGCCAAAAAACACTAATGAAGGGGGGCCCACTGGTCAGACCCTTACGCATCGGCAGGGGGGAACTAGCCCAAATGCCCCCGCTGCCAACCCAAAAGGGGAAACCCCCGAAACCGCCTAAGGCTTAACACCAAGACCCTGCTCTGCCATTGAACCCCGGGAGTGTCAGAGTCTGAAGCCAGGGCGGGGAGAACTGGACCCACAAAAGGGAAGAAGGGAGGAAGGCGAAGCGACCCCCAGCTCCAAGTCCAGGTCCTTGGCGGAGGTCCGTGTTGGAGGATTTGTGCGCTCGTGGCTTTATGGCTTCGGTCCTGCGTTTCTTTTCCCTCCTGGAGCTGTCTTCGGATTGGCTTGCGGAGGATGTAAAGGCGCTTGGAGACATTCCTGGGTCTGGCACCGTGGTCTCTGCTGCTCGGGTGTCGTCTGTCATGTTGAAGCTCTTTGCGCCGATCCTAGGCCGGGGGGAACCGGGGGGTTTCTTCTCGGCGGGATAATACAAGGGCTCATGGTTCCATTCATCTGGGTGGGCACAGGTGTCGGGTTTGGTGCCTGTGCCGCCTGCAGTCCCATCTGTGCCTGGTCGGGCAGTGTTCGCTCTGCGCGCAGGTCGGGTTCTCGTAAGGGGCAGTTCGCCCCATTGAAGGGGCGATGGGGGGAAAGCTTGCTCTGTTCGCTCACGCCTGGTCTCACGATTTGTGAGGATTTTGGGTCGTTAATCGCGGCCTGCGGTGGCGTTGGGTGGCTCCTCCTCCGGGGGGTTCTGTGCTGACGGGGCAGGCTTCCTCTCCTGTGCTCCTGTCCAACGTCCTGGCGGACGGCCTGTCCAGGTTCGTTCCCCTGTCTATGGAATGGACGGTCGACGCCGACTCCTTCCGTTGGCACTGCCGGACATTTGGGTGCCCGGAGGTGGACCTCTTCGCGTCAGCGTGGTCGAGGCGTCTTCCAGTTTACGTGGCGCCCTTCCCCGACTGCAAGGCTGTCAGGATTGATGCCTTTTGGCAGGACTGGTCGAGGTGGGGGTTCCCGTACCTCTTTTTTCCCCGATTCGACTGTTGCTCCAGATCCTGGCTCGCTAGGAGATTTACCAGGGTCGAGTGGTCCTCTTGGCCCCGTGGTGGCGGGCCCAGCCGTGGTTTCAGGCGCTGCTTGCACGGTGTCCGAACCCGGAGGTTTTTCTGCGGCTCCGCCTCTTTCAGGAGATCGGGCTGGTCTGGTACGAGACTGGTTTGCTCTTCTCCGCGAGTCTTCGCGTTTGGTGTTTTTGACTCATGTTTATCAGCATCTCTATGGTGAGCAGGTGGCTTCTTTGTTGGTTTCTCACCTGCAGGTTTCCACTAGGAGGCAGTATGAAGTTTCTCGGCGGTCCTTCTGGTTCTTTTTGACCCTTCGTCATTGTTCCTCGCTGAAAATGGCATTTCATTACATTCAACGCTGTTATTTTTTTTTATACAAAATGCCAAATCTTAAAAATGTGCAGCTCTGATGATGAATTAAAAATATTTCAGGTTGATTGCTGTGCTGTAATAATCCTGAAAACTAATTGTTTCATAGGAAATTTCTAAATGTAGATGTAAGAGGAAGTACTGTAGTTGTAGTAAATGCTAAAAAGAGAGAAATTGCAACGTACAGTAATGGTTACTGCAAAATTTGATGCCAAATATTAGATTGGAAAGAGAAAATTTAAAATGGACCTAAAGAGTCAAATATATGTGAATACAGTATTTATATGAGGGTGGTGGAAGGAATGGTGAAATGGGCTGAAAGATATCGTAAAAATAGATGAAGGACAATTGCCCTGTAATATTCTTTTAATTAAAAAATGAGAGAGTACTGAAAGCAGACTGGTGAAAGAGAATGGAAACTAGTATACATTGCTTTAAGCTGACTATGGAATGAGAGGAGCGTATAAAATAAGTCATAAGAGCTGATCAAATGAGAAATAAGAACAGATAAAATGAGGAATTAGAATGACACAAAATTAGCAATGTGGATGGGAGGAAGGGAAATGCTTGAACTAATAAAGGGAGAGACTATTGTATTTAGCTGATTTTAGCATGCACAGGATATGGATGGACATTTAAGATTTATGAGGGGGGTCTAACTTTAGTGAAATGTGCAGACAATAAGTCACACTCACATGGCTGAAATTTAGACACCCAACCACCAAATCTAAAATTAAAGAATTTACAATGAAAGGAAGACATGACGGCTTGTTAATGGTCGAGGACAGACTGAAACATTGTCAACTCTTTATTTTTAGATTTGTGAATTGGGTGTCTTTAGTGAAATGTAATACTGTAGATTGGAACAAATGAAGAATGTAAAAAAGAAAACAAAATATATGGATGAAATGTATTGTTGTGGAAAAGTATAATGAACTGTGCAGAGGCAACTCAAAGTATCTTCACATGTTGTTCTTTTACCTTGTGGGATGTTCAGTATTGTTGTGGATTTAGGCAAATATAAAACTATAAGAGCCATAACGCTTTGTTGTTGGCTATTATTTACACACGGGTTAATCTGTTCATTTTCTTTACAGGGTGTATGAGTGTGGGTTGGACTGTATGGGAGGATCGTGGCACAGTTCAAGTCTCTGGGATGCTTGTATAAGTTACGAGCACAATAATGGCAACCTTGTGGCTGTCATGGCCCTCTATAGAAGGCTGATACAGACACCAACGAGATTGTTTAATAAACACTGGGATCAGTAAGTTCATCAAATGCATGCTGCTGGCTCCATGGTCTCAAACACCTCCTGTCCCTCCTCAACCTTTAATTAAGGATTTTTCAATGTTGTTTACAAGTTGTCAGAAATTCTCTACTGTATTTATAATAATGTTTCACTGTTGGCTTCGTTCTAGACTCACAATTGGGGATCCTGGGTTCGATTCCCAAATGGAACAGAATTGGTTGAGCACGTTTCCTTTCATCTGATGCCTCTGTTTACCTAACAGTAAATAGGTACCCAGGAGTTAGGCAACTGTTTTGGGGTTGCATCCTGGGTATTGTCAGTAGGTCGACGCGGGGGGGAGGGGGGGGGAGAAGGGCCTCGATACAACCCTAAAGTATATGTTACACTGCTTCCTGTCCCCAACAAAATAAATTAATTATTATTAATATAATAAGGTTGAAAGCAGACCATGCAAAATAAGGAATGATACAGAGTGTGTAGGTTGATACAGAACAATACTTGCCTCTCACCTCCTTTCACTTCACCTTCCCTCTTGCCTTATGTTGACTCTCCTACCCCTACCCCCCAACCCTATTTCACGACTTGATAAGGGTCCAAGGCGGACTGAAACGTCATCACTCATTTCATATATGTGGGTTGTGTTATTTGTGAGTGTGGCTGTGGCAGAAGATATTACCTGAAGATTGTGGGAGAGAGGTGAGAGGGAAAGTCATGGTGTGGCCCACTTAATGAAAGTACAGAATTTTCATGAAATTCCTGTAGTGTGGGAAAATGCTGTTGGATATAAATAATTACATTAACCACTGCACTGCTCACCTGGTTTTGGCAAAAACTTCTTAGTGCAATTGTCAAGGACATATTTTGTTGTTTTTATAAATGTTCAGGTAAAGTTAATGTCAAAATGTTTCCAAACTCAACTACGTACAGTATTTCCATTTCAAAACACAAAGGGTGATGAAAACGTTAAACAAAAATTATAATATTGCCTAATTAAAAAAAAAAAATAGCACAACTCTCAGGGCACCTAAAGTCGCTTTGCGCAGTGGCTAAAGTTGAGGGTATTTATGATGGCCTGTCTACCCCTTTTATGTGGGATGAGAGGTTTCAATAAATTATAGAATTTTACATGGAAGATGCAGTAATTAATACATTCACATTACTTGCAGTTTTTTAGCTCTGGTACGAGATCACCACCCACGCAGTCTTCTACCAGTTGAAGAGTACCAGACATTACGTAAAGAAGCATGTGAAGAACTTAAAATCAAGTACACTGCAACAAGCTTAATGCCCCCCAAAACCATTCAAAAGGTATTTGAGGAGTTTTCTGGGGGGAGCCCCTACGTCTCCCCGGAGCTTATCAGGCTGATATGCTAATGTCAGACTTTGGCATCAGTCATGTGTACGGAGTTCTTATGGGCCTACTGGGGACCACGAGCCAGAACCTGGCCCCCTCAGAGAGGCAAGGGGAGCAATGGCCTATAGAAATCCCCGTGTGGTTGGAAGCATTCTATGTCTGCCATTGACCGGGTTAGGCACCCAGAAAGGTAGGCGTCCCAAAACAAACCCCTATTCTCGTGAAAATTGCAACCAAAAGCCAAACGAGTAGATAGGACTCCCCAAACAAAAACGAGCAAACTCGTATGACATCACCTGTCATCGCGCTGCTGTCTGCACAGCCCCCCCTCCCCAGGAGGGGGAAGGGGGAGCCCCAGACCTACTGCACCGGCGATCCACACCTCAGTTCTTGAGGCTGATGCTATCTGCTCGGTTGTGTGCTCTGGCTTCAGTCTTTTTGTGATGCTGTGCCTTGTATGTGGCTGCTGTACTCCAGGGGTGCGAGAACCAGGAGTTATTCCTCAGTACTCAGGCTGCATGCGCCTAGGGTTCCCTTCCCTAGGTGCCTTGTAAGTACTGCCCTTGGAGCTTGGGGTTACCATCCACAAGTTCCTTGGGATCTGCCTCTGTGTGTCCGTTTTACTGCTCGGTTTTTCGGCCGCCCTTTGGGTACTTGGGTGTTTTGTCTCCCTAGTTTACCTTAGGGTAAGAGGCAGTTTTCGCACTGGTAAGGGCGCAGGGTACTGCGCAGCTAATTGTCGCCTATCACAGCGGCTGGCTCTGTTCCTTGGGGTACGTTGTCCTCTTGTGGGGTTTTGTTTTTCTTTTTGCCTTGGTGGGAGGTTCTGCCCTATTTGCCACTGGTGTTTGGCCTCACCCTGATACTTGGTGGTGCCCCCTGCTTGGTCTCTATGAGTGTACAGGTCCCTGGGGTTCAGCTTTAGACAGTTTGTTTTGTAGTTTTGGGTGCCGGTTAGCAATACCCTGCCTGGGTTTACCTGAGCGCGAGTCCTCTTCAAGTAAATGCCCTGGGAATCCCCTAGGGGATGCATGGGTCCGATGGATGTAACCCCGGGGTCCCCCCTCGCTTCGTGCGAGTTTGAGGGTTGTTCGATCTCCTTGTCTCAGGGCGACCCTCACTGTTTTGTCTCCGTCACGCAGCCTGTTGGGTCGGTGACACTTTCGACCCTGAGTCCTGTGAGTATTGTTGCTTGCTGGTGACTCAATTTACCCAATCTGTGGATGATCATCTTCGGGTACAGGCTGCGCAGGTGTTGCATTCTAGGTTTCGTTTGTTGCAACGCGCTCGGTTGGTTGCTCACCCGGATGCCCCGCAGCTGCCCCGTCTTGCTTATAGGAACCCGGACTTGGGGGTGGGGGTCACTTTGATCCTGGTTCAGTCCGCACCTCCTAGTGCTTCCCCTCCTGTTGATCATTTTGGTCCCCCTCCCCTGCTTCTGGCCCTGAAACGTCTGAGGGTTAGGAGTCGGCACAGTGGTTAGTTGGTCTTGAGACTCTGGCAGCCACGGGGGATGCCCTTTCCGGTGTGGCGACGGAGGCAATCGAGTCTCCTCCCCCGCCGAAGCCTCTGGGTCTGACCAGTGGGCCTCGTTCTATCCGACTTCTACAACTGCGCCGACCTTGCCTAGTGGGGTCGGTGCTGGGGAGGGGCTAACTTGGGGGCCTTGGGCCCAGCTGGATCCCGCCTGGATTTTCCTACCCTCTGAGCGGGGCTTATTGTTACAAGGAGTGGGGTTTTCTTTTCCTCCCTCTGCATACGAGTTGGACTTGGTGTCTGCTCCTCCCCTGGTTTGGTTCCGTTTTTTCGGAGGTTTTCAGCTTATCGCATCCAACCAGCTGCAGTGCCTTGGCCTCAGCGGCTCGCTCGTCGGCTGCCTTGCTGAAGCTTTTCGCGCCGATCTTGTGGGATGCGGTGACTCTGTTTTATGCCTCCCGGCTCGCACGTCAGCAGACGGTGCTTGCCTCCTCTGTGGAATCCACTTGGGCCTTGGCTCTTAGGATGTCTTCCCCTTTTTGCCCGCTCTTGTTTGAGGCTTCCGCCGTTGCGCAGTATATTCAGGCTGCTTTGGCTTCTTGCCGTCCTATGTCAGACTTACTGGTTCTCCGGGGGTCCCGTGGTGGACCATCCCGGGGTTCCTCTCGTCTTTGTAGGCCACTGCTGTCAGATTAAGGTTCGGCTTCACCTTCGGACCAGCCTTCGTCTGGTCGGCGTGGTGTTCGCTTTGTGCGAGGTTCTGGGTCTCGTATGGGGCGCTGGCTCTTTCACAGTTCGCCCCATTGATGGGACGATGGGGAAAAAGCTTGCGCTGTTTGCTCACGCCTGGTCCCACGATTTGTGGGCTTTCGGGTCATTTCGCATGGCCTCTGGTGGCGTTGGGTGGCCCCTTTCCCTGCGGGGGGTTCGGGGCTGGTGGGGCAGGCTTCTTTCTCTGCACTCTGTCAGGTCATCTTGGAGTGGGTTTGCTTGGGCGTGGTCGAAACGACGACATCCCTCAGATGGGTTTCCCCTCTGTTTCCAGTCCCGAAACGGGACTGCTCGGACCTGTGGTTCATTCTGGACTTGTCCCGTCTGAACCCCTGGGTTCATTGCTCCTCCTTTCGGATGACCACACTGTGCCAGGTTCGGTTCCTGTTGGAGCTGGGCGCTTGGATGGTGTCCCTGGACCTCCGGGACGCTTATTGGCACGTCCCGATTCATCCGGGGTTCAGGGACTGGGTCAGTTTTGTTGTGTGGCTTCGTGCTTACCGCTTTCGTTGTCTCCCATTCGGTTTGAACCTGGCACCTCACGTTTTCACGCTCCTCACACGGGTCATGGTGACCCGTCTGCATCTGTTAGGTGTTCGGGTGTTGGCCTACCTCAACGACTGGCTTGTTTGGGCTCCCAGCCAGTCCGCTTGTCTGCTGGCCAGGAATTTGGTTCTTTCTCAGCTTGCCGGGTTAGGGTTCTTGGTGAACTGGAGGAAGTCCCATCTGGTTCCCTCCCAGGTTCGGACCTGGCTGGGCCTTGTGTGGGACTCTCAGACCGCTTCCTTGTCTCTTCCTCCAGAGTCTCTTCTGCGGCTGCGGTCCCGCTTGTGCCTGTTTCTGGGGGGCTCCCTGGTCACCCGGTGGTTGCTCAAGGGTCTGTGCGGGAGCCTGAACTTCACGATGCTGGTCTACCCGCCGGGTCGGGTTTGGCTTCGTCGGCTGTTCTGGTACCTTCGGGGTCATCCCTTCCGCCTCTCTCGCGATCGCTGGGTTTGGACCCCGGGGGGCTTTGCGTCAGTTGCTGCGTTGCCGGCTTCCTCTTCGGGTTTTTCGGGGTTCAGTGCTATGGCGCCTCCCCTAGCCCTTGCTCGATGTGTTCACGGACGCATCGTCTCTCGGCTGGGGCTTTGTGACCAGTGCTCAACGGACCGGTGAGGGACGGTGGGGTCCATCCTTCCGTCGAGCCCACAGCACTGCGGGAGTTCGCTGTGGTTGTGGAAGGTTCGAGTAACCTGCGGGTCGACAATTCAGTTCCATTCGGACTGCTCCCCGGAGGTTCATTGTCTGAACCGGGGGCTTCAATGCGTTCCTTGGCTCTTTGGCGCTGGTCACTTCGGGTGACTCCTCTGATGAGTTCTCGGGGTTTGGCTCTCCTGGCAGTTTACGTGCGGGGAGTGTCCAACGTCTTGGCCGACAGTCTGTCTCGTTTCGTTTCCCTCTCTACGGAATGGACGGTCGACGCCAAATCCTTCCTTTGGCTTTGCCAGACGTTCGGACACCCCGAGGTGGACCTCTTCGCGTCGGCGTGGTCGCAGCGCCTTCCCCTGTATGTGGCGCCCTTTCCCGACTGCAAGGCCGTCGGGGTCAACGCCTTTCGGCAGGACTGGTCAAGGTGGGGGTTCCTGTACCTCTTTTCCCCAGTTCAGCTGTTGCTCCAGGTTTTAACTCGCTTGGAGACTTACCAGGGAAGAGTTGTCCTCTTGGCCCCTTGGTGGCCAGCCCAGGCGTGGTTTCAGGCGCTGCGTGCTCGGTGTCCAAACCCGGAGGTTTTTCTGCGGCTCCGCCTCTTCCAGCAGATCAGACCAGTACATCACGTGGATGGTTCAGTCTTCTCCTCGAATCTTCGCGTATGGTAATTTTGACTGGGGTTTATCATCATCTCTATGGTGGTCAGGTGGCTTCCTTATTAGTATCCCACCTGCAGGTTTCGTCTCGGCGGCAGTATGAAGTTTCCTGGCGATCCTTCCCGTTCTTCTTACATCTTCATCGTTGTACTTCACTTTATGTTAGGGTGGTGTCCTTTCTCTCTTGGTTCTCTCCAGGACCGTCGCCTTATGCCTAACACTGTCGCCTCGTATCGTGTGGCGCTGACGGAGCCACTTCAGCATGCTTTCGGTACTGATATCACGGCTGCACCGTTTCGCAAGCTGTCTCGGGCATTGTTTTGCCTCTGGCCTGCGCTGCCTGAGCTGTCCTGGTCATTGGACAGGGTGCTCTCTTTTCTTTCTTCTCGTTTTGTTGTGGCCTGTTCAGTTCCGGATTGTTTTTCGAAGGCACTTTTTTCCTGTTGGCATTGGCCTCTCCCCAGAGGCCAATGCCAGGTAGGTGAGCTTCATGCTCTTCTCCAGCGCAGAGGTTTCTGCTCCTTCGGTCAGGGTAATCGGTTTGTTCGTCTGCAGCCTTCTCCTTCTTTTCTGGCAAAGAATGAGACTGCTGCTTTCCGGAGGGGTCCCTGGGTTGTTGATGCTTGGTTGGTTAGGCCGGAGGTGCATCATGTTTTATGTCCGGTTGCGGCTCTCCTCTGTTATTTGTACGTCACGGCTTCTGTGTCCATGGATGCGCTTTAGGTTGTTCCGGGTGTCACTTTGGGTCGGCGGATGCAGCCAGTTGTCTCGCCTTCGGGTTGAGGAGTGAGCAGCAACCGCCTCCTGGGTAAGTCCCTATTCTTTTCCTCTGTGGATAGTTAGCTTCGGGGAGCCATAGGGGTTTGGCCGAACAGACGCATCGTCTCTTGGCTGGGGCTTTGTGGCCAGTGCTCACCAGGCCAGCCAGCCCATCCTTCCGTCGAGCTCACAGCACAGTGTGGTAGTTCGCGTCGGTGTGGATGTCGCTTCGGAGGATTTGAATCGCTCAAGGTTCGACGATCTTGCCCCATTTGGACTGCTCCCCCGGTAGTTCATTGCCTGAACCGTGGGGATTCAATGTGGTTTTTGGCTCTATGGGGCTGGTCGCTTCGGGTGGCTCCTCTGCTGAGTTCTCGGGGGTTTGCTCTCCTGGCTGTTCACATTCAGGGGGGGAGGGGGTGAAGTTGTCCAACGTCCTGTCACGGTTCATTCCCCTGTCCAAGGAATAGACGGTCGATGCCGACTCTTTCAGTTGGCTTTGCCAGACATACGAGCTCCTGGAGGTGGACCTCTTCGAGTCAGCGTGGTCGAGGCGTCTCCCATTATATGTGTCGCACTTTCCTGACTGCGAGGCCGTCGGGGTCGATGCCTGCAGGACTGGTCGAGGTGGGGTTACCAGTACCTCTTCCCCCCGGTTCCGCTGTTGCTTGAGGTCCTAGCTTGCTTGGAGACTTACCAAGGAAGAGTAGTCCTCTCGGCCCCATGGTGGCCAGCACAGCCTTGGTTTCAGGCGCTACTTGCTCGGTGTCCGAACCTGGGGGTCTTCCCGTGGCTCTGCGTCTTTTCCGCAGATCGGGCCCGTCTGTTACGTAACTGGTTCGATCTTGCAGGTGGCTTCATTGATGGTGTTCCACCTGTGTGCTTTGTCTTAACAACAGTATGAAGTTTCTTGGCAGTCCTTTCGTTATTTCTTGTCCCTCCTTAGGTTTGCTTCTGTTTCGGATCTAGTTGTCTTGTCCTTCCTTTCTTGGTGTTTTCAGGACCTTCATCTTATGCCGAATACTGTCGCCTCGTATTATGTCCTGCTGGCAGAACCGTTTCAGCTTGCATTCAGGGTGGATGTTACTTCTGCTCCGTTCTGCAAACTGTCCCGTGCGTTGTTTCACTTCCGGCCTGCTTATGTACTGCCTGAGTCGTCCTGGTCGTTGGACCAGGTGCTCTCTTTTGTATCTTCTCCTCGGTTTGTTGTGGCCCCTTCGGTTCAAAATTGTTTTGCGAAGGCTCTTTTTCCTGTTGGCATTGGCCTCTGGAGGTTGGATTGGGGGAGCTTCATGCTCTTCTCTGGCACAGGGGTTTCTGCTCTTTTGGTCCTAGTGGTAGCTTTGTTCATTTGCAGCTGTCTCCTTTTCTGGTGAAGACCCGAGACCAATTTTTTCCAGAGGGGTCCTTGGATTGTTGATGCTTGGTTGGTTCAGCAGGGTGTGCATCATGTGTTGTGTCTGGTTGTGGCTCTTCGCCGTTACCTGTGCGTCATGGCTTCAGGGGCTGGGATCACGCTTTGGGTTGACCCAGTTTCCCTTCTTCCCTGTTCCAGAGTTCGGATCTCCCAGGTCGTACACAGGATTATTCGGTCCAGCCAGCCTGCGGTCTATCCTCGTGCCCATGACATTCGTAAGTTTGCTGTGTTGGCTGCCATCTTTGGTAACATATCTTGGGCTGACATTCGGGCACAGGATTTTTGGAGGTCGAACAGGGTCCTGACCTCTCACTACCTAGTCAGTGTTCCTGGCCCTGGTTGGGCATGTGTCACATTGGGTCGGCGTTTGCAGCCAGAATGTCTTGACTTCGAGTTAAGGAGTGAGTGACCAACGCCTTTCGGTTAAATCCCTCTTTTTTTTTTTTTTTGGTTAAGTAGCTCCGGGAAACTCAAGGGGCTCCCCCCAGAAAATCAGCATTGAATGTAATGAAACGCCATTTTCTGGGTGAAACCTGGAGGTTCATCGCTAACCCTCCCTCCCTTCGGCTAGCAGTTTTTGCGTGTTTTGACATCCAGCCTCAGAGCTAGGGGTGTGGATAGCTGGTGCGGGGGTCTAGGGCTCCCCCTTTCCCCTTCCAGGGAGGGAGGAGCTGTGCAGACAGCAGTGCGGTGACAGTTGTGACGTCATGCTCGTTTGCTTGTTTTCGTTTGGGAGTTCTGTCCAACAGTACGGCTTTCTGTAGCAATTTTGTTTAACCAGATAGGGGTTGTTTGGGGCTATTATCTTTCTGGGTGCGTACTAGGTCGATAGCAAACATAGAATGCTTCCAACAAGACCAGGGGGGGGGGGGTTTCTATAGGCCATTGCTCCTCGCGCCTCTTTGAGGGGACCAGATTCTGGCTCGTGGTCCCCGGTAGGCCTAGAACACCATTTGCTTTGACTGATACCAGGGGTCTTAATACATTCATATCAGCCCGGATAGCTCTGGGAAGCCTTGGGACCTCACCCAGAAAATGGCATTTCATTACATCCAGCACTGGTTGTTGGTAGTAACAGGTTAAAACTTTATTATTAGTGCAAAGATTTCCCATACACACACACACATGAGATACTTTGCAAATCGATGCAATGCATTTGAAGCTGCACAAAATAATCCCGCTATAATTGTTGAAATTTGATGAGGGTTAGTTGCTTTGCATGAATATATGACGTAATCACCAACGTATGTACTTTTACAACCCATTGTTCCTTCTTGTTTATATAAATAAATATAAAATATATAATAAAAAAATAAATATCTTTCTAAATATCATTAAGTGTATGTGGAACATATATATAAATTTTTCAGACCCCACAACCAGAGGATAAGCTTACTTCCCGTATAAAGGAAAAACTTGTTGCCTTATACATCAAAACCCATGAAAAGAACGAAGAGGAAGTGGACAAAAGGTGGAAGCTTGAGGAAAAAGTGAGTGCCTTTGTTCAATTTATTTACATTTTCCCTAATTATTTTTAAAATACAGTAAAGGAGAGCACAAGAACACTCACTTCCAAACTCCATGACCAATTCATAATGTCAATAACTATTAATTTCATGTGTTCCTCAGAATATGCGTGTAGTGTATAACTTTGCCATGAGTGGAAGCTTATTATTTTCATGTTATTCAGTTTTATGGTTCATTTTTAGATAGCACCATTTTCCAGGAATGTAACTATCATTACATAAGGGTTGCTGGTTTATGAAAATCTGGCACTCTTTTTCTGATTTTGTTTAGCCATTTTGCTTTGTTCCGTAGGCAATTAGCTGCCATGTCCATTAATAGTTCCGCACAGTCAGGACAGGTCAAGAAGATTTTTTTGAAGATCTTTTCAAATGTCCCCAATTCATCAGACTGGTACAAAAGAGAACCTGAAGAGGTCTCAATCCAGTTTGGAATGTCACTCGGAACCCTTCCCAGTTTTACTCAGTGTCAAAGACACCACTTTGAAGCACTCTACTAAGCGTCGATTTGCATGTTTGAACTCTACCCTTAATTGCTAGCAAGTGTTGGTACCTACATTAAAATTAGGATGATAACATTTCTCTCCTCATAGAAAAGAAATCAATTAACCTGAAATGCTCCACACACTCCCAAGAATGACAAGGAAGGCTATGTCTGGAAATAGAAGCTGTTGGATTAACACTGCATATTCATAAAATTCAAGAGAGATAGAGAGAGACCAAGAAGCTCTCAATGAAATTGACAGGATTTAGACACACTGGAGCCTTCTTCAGGAACCAAAAATATTTAATCTATCTAATATCCAGATCAAGATCCACATTTAATATTGACCCCTTCCATATGGGAGATGGAACATTCACTGATGGCAACAGAGAAATAAGTAAAATATTGAGGACATGATATGAAACCTTGTTGTTTATCCACTAAACACATTAACCACCGTGCTGCGCCGTGTTTATTGTGACATTCCCCTTGTGCGCATGAAATAAAGTGTTCCCAAAAAATTCTTTTTTCTTCGTAAAATGATAAATTCCCTTCCCTGAACATGTTTATGTAAAAATAAATACCAAATCCCACTTACTTTGGCTGTGGGGGACGTGGACAAGGTGCGCTGTGATGTCATCAGGGGCTGGTCGCCCCTGCGTGACACGCCCAGACATGGTCACGCGGGTCATTCAAGACTGGGTGTTGCCACAAGTATATTTTCAATTATTTGTTCTATGTATTTCCAGTGTGGTTTTATTTGTTTTTTTGTCATATATGATGCATATTTGTGTCCTTTACAATATGTATACAGTAGAACGTTCATAATGTTCAATGGAACTGTGATACATGTGTCAGTAATGTGTCCACAATAAATGTTTATTTTCGCAATATTACTTGTTAAAAATTCACTAAAATTACAATATGTACAGTTTCACGCACTATTTACACAGTAACACACTGTATTACACACTCATTCTGGAAAACTGGAAAATATTGTTTTCTGGAAACTGGAAAATATTGGAGGGGTGACAGGTAAGCTTCTAACATGGATGAAAGATTTTCTGACTGAGAAAAATAAGGGCAGTAATCAGAGGCAATGTATCGGACTGGAGAAATGTCACAAGTGGAGTACAACAGGGTTCAGTTCTTGCACCAGTGATGTTCATTGTCTACATAAATGATCTACCAGTTGGTATACAGAATTATATGAACATGTTTGCTGATGATGCTAAGATTATAGCAATCATCTTAGATGATTGTCATGCCCTTCAAGATGACCTGGACAAAATAAGTATATGGAGCACCACTTGGCAAATATAATTTAATGTTAATAAATGCCATGTTATGGAATGTGGAATGGGAGAACATAGACCCCACACAGCCTATAAATTATGTGAGAAATCTTTAAAGAATTCTGATAAAGAATGAGATCTAGGGGTGGTTCTAGATAGAAAATTATCACCTGAGGACCATATAAAGAACGTTGTGCGAGGAGCCTATGCCACACTTTATAACTTCAGAATTGCTTTTAAATACATGGATGCAAAATATTAAAGAAATTGTTCATGACTTTTGTTAGGCCAAAGCTAGAATATGCAGCGGTTGTGTGGTGCCCATATCTTAAGAAGCACATCAACAAACTGGAAAAGGTGCAAAGACATGCTACTAAGTGGCTTCCAGAACTGAAGGGCAAGAGCTACAAGGAGAGGTTAGAGGCATTAAATATGCAAAAACTAGAAGACAGAAGAAAAAGATGTGATATGATCACTGCGTACAAAATAGTAACAGGAATTGATTAAATCGATAGGGAAGATTTCCTGAGACCCCGGAACTTCAAGAACAAGAGGTCATAGATTGAAACTAACTAAACAAAGATGTCGAAGAAATATAAGAAAATTTACTTTCGCAAACAGAGTGGTAGACGGTTGGAACAAGTTAATTGAGAAAGTGGTGGAGGCCAAAACCGTCAGTAGCTTCAAAGCGTTATATGACAGAGTGCTGGGTAGACGGGACACCACGAGTGTAGCTCTCATCCTGTAACTACACTTAGGTAATTACTCAGTACTTCGGAAGCGAGTAATAATCAACGAAGTAGTCCATGGTACACAGCGCAACTTCGCTCTCGTTGCACCAGGTACAGATAGCACACAGAAATTACAATAACGTGATGCATCAATGAACAAATCCACAAGGGCTGTGACGAGGATTCGAACCTACGTCCAAGATCATCCCAGATGCTGCTTTAATCGACTGAGCTATGACATGGTCAAAAGAGTTGCAACCAGAAGTTCTTCTGCCCTTACTTGGATCCTGCAGCCTCTCCGAGACACAAACCAGGGTTTTACATAACTTCCCCATGCACTTGAGCTATGTCAATAGGCTGTTCTACCTCTTCGCCCTTACTTCGCCACTCTTTTGACCATGTCGTAGCTAAGTCGATTAAGGCAGCGTCTGGGATGATATCGGATGTAGGTTCGAATCCTCGTCACGGCCCTTGTGGATTTGTTCAGGTACAGATAGATTTTCGCTTCCTGTTTCTTCATTCTGTGTGCTTGCAAATAATGGACTCACGTACACCCTTGGCATTAGCACCAGTAGGAAGGATGTAGCCAAGCTTGTAAAATGTAAGGTAGTCTTGAAAAGGTTACAAGAAAAGATCAGTTTGTAAGGTAGTCGTGAAAAGACCGCTTTGTAAGGTCCCACACAAGAAAAGATTCAGCCAGCCTCAAAGAGTGTCCATCAGTCAAGAAGAGATTCTTGAAAATATCTATGGAAAACACCACCATGGAAGTCGCTAACACTGTTCATCTATGCTACTTGTATCAGATGCAACCTCACTGAACGCAGAAAACGATTCATCTATGTATCATCTAAATAAATTGGAGATAGCAAGGGTGGCGCTCATAGCTACAACTGGATACGCTCGCTGTATCGTCCTCATAGGTGCTGTATCACTTGCATCCGACCTTTGTGTTAGATCCTTATTGCGTCTAGCTACACCAATATTATGACCCTTATGTTCTTCAAACAATAAGGTTTGAATTTCACCGACAGAGCGCGATCTTTCAACACAGCGTCGGACAGGTGTTTGGGAGCCAGAGGCGCGTGCGCCACCCATGGTTGCTCACTCAGTACTAACCCAGCCAGCAGCCCTAGGGCATTCTGGGAATTTTTTCCAAGATGGCTGCCTCTCACTGGAGGTCCTAAGAGTCCATTTTGTACACAACCAATCTCAAACACATTTAGAATGGGTACAAAAAATCAAAAAGAGTTTTCTCGGTTGGTGCAGTTTCCCACCAACTGAGAATACTCGGTTGGCGCAGTTAAGTGGTTAAAGATTGACAGTCCAGTTGAATTCTTTATGAACTTTATACCAATGTACAATACTCTATACTGTATATGACAAATTTGACTCTCCTCGTCAGAAACACAATTTTCAGATTGAAACAACCCACTTAACAGAAATCTCAGTCTCGTCTGTCAAACTGATGTAGATCTTATTTAGGAGGAATGTGAGGCAGACTGAGTTTGAGAACTTTTGAGAGTTTGATGCTGCTTCCTCGTGGTGGTAATGGAATAGGCTGGCTAGGAGTAAGTGAGAGCACTCCATTTTGCAACCACTTGTGATGCAAAGGAGGGCATGAAAGAGGTTTGAATTTCTATGGATGAAAGTTCAAGATGCTATTCCAGGCTTGTTTGAATGCATAGGTACCTCTAACATCAGTATGATTCTGTAGGCTCATACGGATGTACAGTAAGTGTTGACCTGCTTGACTGTTCGAGATCCTGACCTATTTACTCATTGGACCAACTGACCAACTGACCAACTGCCTTACTGACCAACTGAGTAACTGAGTAGAAGAATTTGGAAACACATTAACACCTTCATGTTCCGATGATGCTAAAATGCCTCATCCATACTTTAACATTCTAATCACGCTAAAATACATCATCAGATTGCTACATTTTTTATTTTCAGTTCCTGAGCTATTCTGTTTGCATCAACTAGTCTGAAAACTTTTTAAAATCACTGTTATTGCGTGGACAGAATATAACTGTATATTATATTATAGACAGAGTATAACTGTTTAACAAATGCATATTAAGCCACTGATTAATATGTTGATGTTCAGGTTTCATATGTGGACACGTACCTTGCTGGTTACCTTGCGATGATTCCGGGGCTTAGCGTCCCTGCGGTCCTCAACCAGTCCCCCTGGTCGAAGTGTTAGATGAATCCTGGCCAAGGTTTCTTGAGTGGGAATCTTGGTGCTGTACTTGAAATAGGATGCTTGGAGCTAAATAAATTCTAGTACTTGATCCACACTCCCTCTTCCTTGCCTATGAGGTTTAAATGCTTATGATGAAAAGATAAGTACAGTGGTACCTCGCATAACGAATTTAATCCGTTCCATGTTCGTCATGTGAAACGGACGTCATACAAAACGAGTGTCCCCCCATGTAACCAGTGTGATGCACTGTGTTTATTGTGAAATTTCCCCAGAGTGCATGACATCAAATGTTCCCCAAAATAAAAATTTTCTTTGTAAAATGATAAATTACCGTCCCTGAACATGTCTATGTAAAAATAATTACCAAATTCCACTTACTTTGGCTGTGAGGGCGTGGACAAGGTGCGCTGTGACGTCATCAGGGCCTGGTCGCCCGTGTGTGAAGCTCCCAGACACGGTCGCGCAGGCCATTCAAGCACCGCGTGTTGCCACAAATATATTTTCAAATATTTTTTCTATGCGTTTCCAATGCGGTTTTATTTGTTTCTTTTATCGTATATGATGCATATTTGTGACCTTTACAATATGTATACAGTAGAATGTTCATAATTTTCCATGAAACTGTGATACATGTGTCAGTAATGTGTCCACAATAAATGTTTATTGTCACAATATTACGTGGTAAAAATTCACTAATATTACAATATGTACAGTTTCACATACTATTTACACAGTAACACACTGTATTACACACTCAGTACTTTGGAGGTGCATAATAGTCAACGAAGTAGTCCATGATACACAGCGCGACTTTGCTCTCCTTGCACCAGCTACAGATAGATTTTTGCTTCCTGTTTCATCGTTATGTGTGCTTGCAAATAACGCACTTGCGTGCACCCTTGGCTTTAGTACTTGTAGGTGGTATGTAGCCAAGCTTGTAAAGCATAAAGTAGTATTGAAACGATTATAGGAAAAGCTCAATTTGTAAGGTAGTCTTGAAAAGATCGCTTTGTAAGGTCCCACACAGGAAGAGATTCAGCTAGCCTCAAAGAGTGTCCATCAGTCAGGAAGAGATTCAGCTAGCCTCAAAGAATGTCCATCAGTCAGGAAGAGATTCAGCTAGCCTCAAAGAGTGTCCATCAGTCAGGAAAAGATTCAGGTATTCTTGAAAATATCAATGAACACCACCACCATGGAAGCCGCTAACACTGTTAATCTATGCTACTTGTATCAGATGCATCATCACTGAACGCAGAAAACGATTCATCTATGTATCATCTATATACATTAGAGATGGCAAGGGTGGGGCTCAGAGCTACACCTGGATACGCTCGCTGTATCATCCTCATAGGTGCTGTATCACTGGCATCCGACCGTTGTGTTAAGCCCTTATTGCGCCTAGCTTCACCAATGTTAAGACCTTATGTTCTTCAAACAAAAGGGTCTGAATTGCACCGACTGAGCACAGTCTTTCAACACCGTGTGGGACAGGTGTTTGAGAGCCAGAGGCACGTGTGCCACAAATGGTTGCTCACGCAGTACTAACCCAGCCAGCAGCCCTTGTCTTTCATATTCGTTATGGCAAAAGGTTCGTTCAGTTTTTGTTGGGTAGGCTGCTCCATTATGACAATCTTTCTTTGTTTCAAATGTGTTCCATTTGTTTTGTATTTGTCACTTACGTCTCAATAATGGAGCAGCCTACCCGACAAACACTGAACGAACCTTTATGACATTTGTCCATTTTTCAAATTGTTTCAACAGTTCTTTTATTTTTCGTTTTTTTTTTTTTTTTTTTTTTTAAGAAACATGGAGCAGCCTACCTGCCGACCACCGAACGAACCTTTTGCTATAAGACAAATGAAAAATAAATATTGAACACATTTGAAGAAAGGAAAATGTCATAATGGTTTATTCAGTGTATGTAAGGTAGGCTTCTCCATTATTGAGACGCAAATGACAAATACAAAACAAATGGAACACATTTGAAACAAAGAAAGATTGTTATAATGGAGCAGCCTACCTGCCGAACACCGAACGAACCTTTTTGACATTTGTTGTATATCAGATATTTCATTTCTTTTTTCCTACAAAAACGTCAATGCTTTGCAACATCTCAGTAGTCACCCTTTTATATCCCAGCATCATTAGCATCTTTAAACAAGAACAACATAATTTATGTGCATCGTCGGAGGCGTCTAAGAATGTGCAAGAAGCAGCGCGACCCCACCATGTGGTGTTGACGTTACTCAAACCAGCGTTCGTCATAAGGGACGATTTGACGCCGATCGGGCCGTTCGTTACCCAAAATATTCGTCTTTTGGGGCAATCGTTATGCGAGGTACCACTGTACATTATTTTAATAAATATTTGCACCATAAGATGGAATCAAACTTATGTCCCTAAACTCCTGAGGTAAACACAGCAATGAGTTCAGTGACGCAGGTTCGATTCCATTGTATAGCCTCAATATTTATTTATAGATTCATCATGTACTTGTATTTTCATTGTACAAATAAATATTTCTTTGTGGCGGCATGTCCTTGCTTGTCATCAAGAACCTGTCAGTCATTCTCATCAAATGTGCTTTTGTTTACCTGAAAGCTACTAATTTCATACTCTACCTCTTATGTTTCAGATAAAGCGACCCTATTTCCACGTGAAGCCCCTTGATAAAAGACAGATCAAGAATTGGAATGACTACCTAGACTTTGAGATCAGTGAAGGGGATCCTCTGCGGATCATTCCTCTCTTTGAGCGGTGTTTGGTATCATGTGCACTCTATGAAGACTTTTGGTGTCGCTATGCTCTCTACATGGAGAAGCACACACAAAATGTTTTGAGTGAAAAGGAAGAAGTTTTAGCAAGTGATAAAAATGCAGATAATGATGGAAATAAAAATGAAGATGAAAAGGTCACAAAAAATGCATTGTCCGAAAGTGTTGAAAGTGAGAAAGAAATTAATAGTGCAGAAAAAAGTTGTGAGGCTAACAAAGAGGAAGACAGTTCAGATGGTGTAAATATTGATAAACAGGTAAATGATCAAAGTATCACTGTTATAAATAGTAAAGATGATAATACTGATACAATGGTGCGGGGCTCTGATGTAAAAAATGACAAAGACTTTCCGAGGGACGTGAATGTTGAAGTTCGGGAAAACCGTGACTCCACTATTGGTAATGATGCAGTGGAAAAAAACTTAAGGGAACAAATACCAATCATTGAAATAGATGATAGACAAAATTCAAATGTATCAGATATTGTGGAGAGTGAAAATGAAGGACAGAGTGTGGAAAAGACAGAGCCCCCTACCTTAGAGCAACTGAAGAGTGAACTATGTGCCGATTTGAACATTAGTGGACGTGTGTTAAAGTGCCCCCCGCTCACCCCTCAGTGGATTAAGAGTGGGGTGAGCTGGGAGGACGTAAGACACATATACCGCCGTGGTGCGTGGATTCATTGTCCCAGTAAAGCAGGCCTCCTCATGCAATGGGCAGAGTTCGAGGAGACACAAGGTAAAGAAGGCAACCCAGGGTTCAGTGTGCAGACTCTGGGTCATCTGCAGTAAGCTCTCTTTGTATAACGGTTTGTTCAATTTTACTCCTGAATATCTAGCCAAAAATATTGCAGACACGTTTTCTGTGGGGAACCCTGTTGGCTCCCTGAAGCTACCCCATTGATATAGTTCTATCCTATTTGGGATCATCAGTCACAGTTCTTGTTGCTTACTGGAACCAGCGCCAGAACCTGACCCCCTCAGAGAGGTGTAAGGAGCAGTGGCCTATGAGCACTTTACATTTAAAGTATGTCATACTTGCCATCGACCAGGGAAGGCATCCAGAAAGATAAGCAAAACAAAACAGGTGACAGTTTGGTTGAAAAATATGACGTATGTCCTCAAAAGAGCAAAAGAACTCGCCATGAAGAAAACAAATAAGCAACACTTCATTCACCTAGACCCCCTTCCCCGCTAGTTAGCGCCCCCCACTCCTTTCAGTTTCCACTGGCTACTCACCTGGCTACCCATCCTTCAGTTTTTGACTGATGGTGCTGGCGGTCTGATATTACCTCAGGCCACAGTTTCCTATTCAGGAATTTTGCCCTATACAGCTGTTCCTGCACTTGTGTGTGCTGGCTTGGAGTTTCTGGGGTATCAGTGCTGCATGCATCTAGGGGCATCTTGCCTCGGCACTCTGTGAGTACTGCCCTTGCGTGGTCAAAGTTATCTTCCTGGGGGTGTTCAGGAAACACTACACATTAGAGGATTTCCTCGCTTGTAGTTGTCCTCGCCCTTGGGGGTCAGTCAGGGGTCTTGGGCTTTCTGTCTTGCCCCAGGTAAGGGGGGAGAGGATATTTATCGGTTGGTGGGGCACACTGTGGCTGGCACCACTTGCTTAAGCTACCACACAGCAGCTGACGTTTCTCTCTGACTGCTTGTTTGTTGTTGGGGAGTTTTGGGGGTTTTATCGCTTTTTTTGGGGGGGGGGCATTTTTGCCTGGTTTGCGGAGGAGTCCTGCCTTGCTCCTTATTAGGCTATGCCTAGGTTGTGGTGGTGGTAGTACACTGTTGCCCCCGCGGCTTTAGAGCGGCTGCTTGCTGTCGGTTTGCCTGCATCGGCAGGGTTTACCGGCTTAGCTGGCCCCAGTGTCTAGGCTTTCTGTAGACTTTCATTCACCTTATGGGCCGTGGAAAACCCCCCCCTGTGGGCTCGGTGGTATGGATACCTCTCAGCCCACTCTCACCTTGTGCAACTTTGAGGGTTGTTTGTCGCCCCTGCATCAGGGTGACAATCATCCATATTGCCTCCATCATGCTGCCTGTTGGGTCGGGGACACCTACGACCCGTAATCTTGTGGGACTTGCTCCCCGCCTGTTCTCCAATTTACTCATTTCTTATCTGATATTCTACAGGATCAGGCAGCTGCTGCATTGCTTGAACAGTTCTCTCTGTTGCATCGGGCCAGGTTGGTTGTCCATTTGGAAGCCCTGAAGCTGCCCCACTTGGGTTTTAAAGACTCGGATTTGGGAGCTTTGGTTGCCTCAGCCTTGGTTCAGTCCACGCCTCCTCTTCCTTCCCAGGTGGGCATGGTTCGCCCTGCTCCTTTTACCCTCCTTCCTGCTCCCAAACATTTGGGGGTTTTGGAGTCGGGGCAGGGTTTAACTCTGAGTGAGGTGCGGGTGGCTTCGGGGCATGCCCCTTTCAATGCAGACACGGAGGTGGCTGAGCCTCTCTTTCATGCTGAGGCTTCTGAGTTGACCCAGCAGGGGTTTCTGCTTTTTTGACTCGAGTAGGTATTTTGTTCATTTACAACCTTCTCTTTCTATTCTAGCGATGAATGAGATGGCTGGTTTCCAGAGGGGTCCATTGGTTGTGGATGCTTGGTTGGTTAGGCTGGGGTGCATCGTGTCTTATGTCCAGGTGTGACTTTGCGTCGCTACCTGCAGGTCACTGGTTCCGTGACGGTGGATGCACTCTAAGTGGATCCGGTTTCCCTGGTTCCCTGTTCCAGGGGCTCTCATGTCTCAGGTTGTCCGCAGTGTCATAAAGTCTAGCCAGCCTACGGTCTACCCTCGTGCCCTTGATGAGTGCAAGTATGCTGCTCTTGCCGCTGTGGTTAGTACTATGTCTTGGGTCAACATTCAGGCACAGGGGTTTGGGGAGGTCAAACAGGGTCCTGACTGCCAGGTATCTTGTCAACATTCCAGGCCCTCTCCGGCCTTGTGTTGCATCGGGATGTCTGTCACGACCTGTTGTCTCATCACTGGTCTTGAGACCTGTGGTGCTGCCTTCTTCCGGGTAAGTCCCCTCTCTTACTTATCTGTGGGTAGTTGGCTTCAGAGTGCCAAAGGGGCTCCCCACAGAAAACAAGCATTGAATGTAATGAAATGCCATTTTCTGGGCGAGCACTGGAGGCTCCCTGACACCCTCCCTCCCTTCCTCCCTCCCTCCCTCTGGTTGGCAGTTTTCATCGCTACAAACTGAGGGGATGAGCGGGCTTTCCCATTCCCCTGTCAGGGGGATTGGAGGGGGGTTGGAAGGCACTAACGAGTGGGCATGCTAGTCTGATTATTATTTGCTTGTTTGTTTTATTTTGAGGGGGAGTTCTTTAGCTCTGTTCAGACTTAGGTTGCAGTGTTTACCAGTTGGGGTTTGTATTGTCTCGCCTATCTTTCTGGGTGCCCCTCTCCGGTCGATGACAAATGTGGCATACTCTAAATGTAGAGCACTCATATATGCCATAGCTCCCAGAGCCTCTCTGAGGGGACCAGGTTCTGGCTCGTGGTCCCCGGTAGGTATATTGAACTCATGGAACTGATGACATCAAACTAATATGGCGCTTGTCAGTTTGGATACCTTCGGGGAGTCTCCGGGGGCTCGTCCAGAAAATGGCGTTTCATTACATGCAACGCTGGTTTTTCAAGATTTTATCCCAAGTGCAATAGGTCTAATCTATAGAGTAAAGTCGTTGGCTGCAGCCCATCCTCCCAAAATTTAAGTACATGTAATTTTAATTTTGAAAAATTGTGGAAAAACTCCCAAAATTGAAAGTTACTTATAGTAACTATTTGGTGGAAAGACGATGGGTCACATTAATGTCGCTGAAGATATGATGTCCAAACCACACGTCAGGAAATGAAGAAACTACAACGTTTCATTTCATTTTTTACCATTATCAAGACTTGATAATGGTCCAGAACGAACCGAAATATCATCGTTTCTTTATTTTCTGATGTGTGGTTTGGACATATTTACTGGAAAGTACAAATATGTAAGGCGGACTGGAATCTTTTCACTCTCCGTGTTGTTCTTCCCTGCCCATCTGGTGTGTGTGTCACCCCCCCCCCTCCTCTCACTCTTCCTTTCTTTTTCAAGACATCTACATAAAGTGCTCTCTGCGCTGTTCCTCTCTGCACCTCTCATGGTACGTGAAAGTGTGTTCCTTGGTGGAATTTATACCATGCTTGTGCAGTATTCTGTAAGTATGTGGCCTGGAAGAAGCACCGATGCTGAAATACATCTTAATCTTTTATTCTATTTTGGAAGGCGAATACGGTGACCCATAGGGTCATCCATACAGCTAAACATGAGAGTTGGAGAATCTGTGTTTCCAGCATTACTGTTGACACTCCTCTCCCTCGTATATGGAAGAAAATCCATAAGATTGCAAGTAAATTTGTTCTAGATATGTTGTCTGCCCTTCATCTCCGTGATTTTGTTTTTGGCAGATCTGGTGTTGGTCATGAACAAACCAAGTTTGCACTTATCAGTCATTTGACTGAAAAGTGCAATGACTAGTACTCACCTTCCTCCTTTTCTGACTTGTAAGCCCCTTCTTCAGTCTTGTTCCTTGGACCTTTGCACTTGCCTCTACCTTCCTAATTATGATATTTCTGGGGGGAGCCCCTAAGGCTCCCCGGAGCTTACTAGGTTGATATGCTAATGTCAGACTTTGGCATCAGTCATGTGTATGGAGTTCTTATGGGTCTACAGGGGACCACGAGCCAGAACCTGGCCCCCCTCTAGAGAGGCAAGGGAAGCAATGGCCTATAGAAACCCCCATGTAATTGGAAGCATTCTGTGTCTGCCATTGACCGGGGTTAGGCACCCAGAAAGGAAGGCGTCCCAAAACAAACCTCTATTCTGGTGAAAATTGCAACCAAAAGCCGAATGAGTGGATAGAATTCCCCAAACAAAAACAAGCAAACTAGTATGACGTCATCCGTCATCGCGCCGCTGTCTGCGCAGTCCCCCCCTCCCCGGGAAGGGAAAGGGGCAGCCCCAGACCTACCGCCCCGGCTATCCACACCCCAGTTCTTGAGGCTGATGCTATCGGCTCGGTTGTGTGCTCTGGCTCCAGTATTTTTGCGGCGCTGTGCCTTGTATGTGGCTGCTGTACTCCAGGGGTGCGAGAGCCAGGAGTTATTCCTCAGTATTCTGGTGTTGTTTCACCTCCGGCCTGCTCATGCGCCGCCTGAGCCATCCTGGTCACTGAACAAAGTGCTCTCTTTTCTTTCTTCTCCTCGTTTTGTTGTGGCCCCTTGGGTTCCTGATTGTTTTTCAAAGGCTCTTTTCCTGTTGGCAATGGCCTCGGGGTTGGGTGGGTGAGCTTCGTGCTCTCCTCCAGCGCAGAGGTTTCTGCTCCTTCGGTTGGGGTGACTGGTTTGTTCATCTGCAGCCTTCTCCTTCTTTTCTGGCGAAGAATAAGACTGCTGCGTTCCGGAGGGGCCCCTTGGGTTGCTGATGCTTGGTTGGTTCAGCCGGGGGTGCATCATGTTTTGTGTCCGGTTGCGGCTCTCCACCGTTATTTGCACGCCACGGTTTCTGTGTCCGTGGATGCGCTTTGGGTTGATCCAGTTTCCCTTCTTCCCTTTTCGAGGGTGCGGGTCTCCCAGGTCGTCTGCAGGGTTATTAAGGCTAGCCAGCCTACGGTCTATCCCCATGCCCATGACATCCGCAAGTTCGCGGCTCTTGCCGCCGTCTTTGACAATACAGTCCTGGGCTGACATTCGGGC